CTGGGTGTGTCATAAAACACGCAAACACCAAGCAAAAAAACTACATATTTAGAAATCTCACTTTCCATTTGGGTTACACATTGCATTACATCTAAGATTACGAGATATGTAGGTAGTAGGTGAGAGTTGGCGAGGAAAAATGCTTTAGTTACGTAAAAGTGAATTTCTCTCGAACAATAAATGCTTAAAAAACGGAACCAGTTGAGTTTTTCATAAAATAACATCAATCATGATTAATTAAAAAATCAAAAAACTGAAATTAAAAAAAAATCTACGTGTAGGTAGGAAAGCTAATGGTTTATTGACCATGTTTGTCCAAAGCTCGACAGTTTAATGCACATCGATCTGTTGTCATTGTTTATTAAATAACGTATACATAAATAAAACATCAACTGCACAAAAAAAAGTAATTTGCTTTTATGTCCAACAAAAAAAAATAATAAATAAAACAGCGAAATTGTATTTTTGAAATTTTTCACCAAACCCCAATAATTGATCGAAATTTAAATATAAACAAATCGAATTTTTCAAAATAAAAGTTATGAAAGGCAATAAAAATTTGTATGCATTAAAGTGAGCGTGCAAATAGCAGATTTTCGAATGCTCCTTCTTCGTGAAACGCGATTTAGTATTCCTGCAAGAGGGAAGATCGTGTACACAACGTGTGAAATTGAATGCCAGAATAGATTACGATGGAAATCTGGCGGTCGGTTGGAAATAGTGCGGCCATTACAGTAAAGAAAACGCCTAAATTATTCCGAGTTTCCCGAACGGCTCGCGTTGATTTACTATATTGGTAACGTTGGTCACGTCATGAATACAAAAACTTTTACATTTCAACAAAAGTACAATTTTTATCGCTTAAATTCGCCGTAACAGAACTTAATTCCATAAAATAGTTATTGATTAATTTGTATCTTAAGAAAATAACTCAATTTTATAAAAATCGAAATTGAAAAAAGTCGTATCTCAAAAACAAATTAAGATATCGTAATGAAATAAGAAACATTTTAAAGCAAATTTAATTAAGATTTAATGTGTAGTAAATAATTTCTTAGTTTCCATAAACGTCGTCGCTATGACTTTTTAAACCCAACTTTGTACCATTATATAAATTTTATAAAAATCGAAATTTAAAAAAGTCGTATCACAAGAACGAATTGAGATATCGTAATGAAATAAGAAACATTTTAAAGCAGATTTAATGTGCCGTAAATAATTTCTTAGTTTCCATAAACCTCGCTACTCTGATTTTTTAAACTCAACTCTATATCTTTACTTTTATCATTCTCTATAATAACCAACTTTTCCTTTTATTAATGAAACTGAAAAGTTTATGTATATATAATACCAATTAAAGTGAAAGTATAAGAAAATTGAATAAAACAATAAGTCGTTTTATTTAATATGGAAATTATATTAAGCGATAAGATTCAGTTTTGAAGTATTGTTAATTAAGATTAAATAAAATTTGAATTGAAAGTAAAAATAAAAAACGTCGTGCAATAAATTTCTTCGTTGTGAATTAGGTTTCGCGAATTCAGCCCTATTTCTCTTTTCCCGGTTTCCCGGATTATTCTGCGAATTATCTACGTGACCTTTTCCCTTTTGGGGTTGATACAACGAGCTTAAGTGAATTTCGACAGTCCAACGTCCAGATAATTATCACTAATTGTTTTAATTGGGTCTAACGGCGCATAGAACTTCTGTTAATTGTTCAATTACAAATTCAAAGCATAAATTACTAAAAAAACTTTTTTACAAAAAAAAATATACATAAAAAACCACTCTAAAGCGTCCATCACATTTTTTAAAGCTTTAGTTTAATTTATTGATGGATTTTTGTTAGTTGTGAAAGTTTAAATTTCGAAATAAAAAATCATTACCTTTTTAGTATTACCTGGTCATTCGAGAGTAATAGAAAGTTTGTTACAAACAATTCCCTTATAGAACTTAATTTAATTGCATCAAAGCTCGGGTATTAACAATGTACAGGTGCAGTGAACCTTTCTTCCTGTACCTTTCGTGCTTTTCGTAACTTAGAGTAAAAACTTACAAAGCACTCATTAAATTTAACGACGTAGACGGTAAAGTTGTGTTCCCTTTTCTCTCCGAAAATTTTATACGAAAACTACGTCACTTCACTCTAAAATCCTTCTCATCCCTTGGCATATATACTTTTTAATGATACTAACTTTCGGAGCGGTGTAAGTAAATAAAGGAAGGATATAAAGTTTACGAGAATTGAATCTTATACTGAAGCGCGCTTTCTTATTTATTTTTACGCACGTTGAAGATATAAACATCCGGTTGGTGAAACTCAAAATTTAAAAAAGAAGGAGAAGAATTCGTACTCCCCGATAGCTAAAACGACACCGGAGATGTGTTGATTTTGTAAATGGAGGAATCGTGTTAAGAGTTCATCTCGAAAATGGGACTAAAAATACTTCGTTCGCCTTTTTATTTTTTAATTTAACTTCAAGGTGGTGATTAAAATTGAAGAGGTTTTAATTTTCTGTTTCAAGTGTAACAAGTTTCTTCTATTTTTAAGCAGAAATTCTCAGATAAACCTAAACCATGTTCAACAACTCAAGTATGCGTAAATTCCTCGAAAACTGGACGGTGGTGATTCCTCTTAAACTTCACCCAGTGGATTAATTACATTATAAACGCGAAACTTTTAATTACAAAACCCAACCCAACGGATCCCATGAAATTCATTTAAACTTTATCCCTCGAGCACACGGTGAAATCTAATCGCCGAACAATTAACTTGGTCAAAAAAGTGGTTAGGGTGTGTATATTGTTATCTGCGTTTCCAGACCAGTAGCCCACAGCTGTACTCAAGGGCACTGGTAGGATATACAGATAAATTAATCTTCCAGCAAGTTTGCGCATGTCTCTACTCGAAATTTATAGATAACATGCATGGGATATATTGCTGGGGGGGTTATATATAGAATAAACACTCTTGAAAAAACCGTGAATAGAACCAGGTACCTTTGGGTTAAGAACGCATCGAGTTATCGCTAGTCTACAAAGCACATAAAGTTTTAGACTTGAAAAGTTATCAACACATGAATATTATGTTTTATTATGACATGGAAGTTATCTTTGAAAATAATTACCTATAAGGGTAATTAAAACATTGAATTATGCATATGATACTCATGTTCTGTTGCAATACCTTTACATTTGCCTGAATAGCTTCAGAATTAACGACTTTTAATATCACAACTCGGAAATTAAAGCTGATAAAGAAACATGTTATGTATGAATATTCCTCATAATGAGTTTAAGTAACATAATGTATAATCACCTCAACCCTAACAATGATCATTTCTGAGGTAAAAAGCAAAAATTGCCAAAATCTTCAAAAAAAGAGTGATTATGAGGAATATATAAAGATACAAAGTTGAGTTTAAAAAATCATAACAACGACGTTTATGAAAAATAAGAAATTATTTGCGGCACATTAAATCTTCATTAAATTTACTTTGAAATGTTTCTTATTTCATAACGACATCTCAATTCGTTCTTGAGATACGATTTTTTTAAATTTTGACTTTTATAAAATATATTATATAAAGGCACAGAGTCGAGTTTAAAAAATCAAAATAAAAACACCAAATTGAGAGATGCACTATCGGAATTGATGACTTAAACCCAGACTGTTTACTGGAGAGGTTGTTAAATCTATCCAAATGCTCTTTTACTCTGAAGAGTATTTATTTATTCTTTCAAGAACTTTGAATAAAGCAACTACAGTACAGATAGCCTAAGTTAAAGCTTAAAATTTGGTACAATCTAACCTCAAACATTTTTCTATGAACTGATTGAAACCTAACTGATTTGGTGAAAACAGTTTTTTGAACTTACTTTCAGTAGTCAATTTAAAACAGTGATTATTATAAATTTTTATAAAATAAACTACAAGACCTGGAAACTTAAAATTTGGTACAACTCAACCTCAAAGGTTCCTTAATGACCTCAAAAAAATTCGTTTCTTAAATCCTAACCGTTTTGAAAAAAACAATTTTTTATTTAAGATCAGTTTTAATAAACGTCAATTTGTTCGTCGGCTTTTTTAAATGTATATAAAATAAATGGTTAGTCCTGGAAACTTAAAATTTAGTACAACGCAACCTCAAAGGTTCCTTAATGACCTCAAAAAAATTCGTTTCTTAAATCCTAACCGTTTTGAAAAAAACAATTTTTTCTTTAAGATCAGTTTTAATAAACGTCAATTTATTCGTCGGTTTTTTAAAATGTATATAAAATAAATGGTTAGTCCTGGAAACTTAAATTTTGGTACAACGCAACCTCAAAGGTTCCTTTATAACCTCAAAAAGATTCGTTTTTTAAATCTTAACCGTTTTGGAACAAACATTTTTTTTCTTTAATATGGTATGGGTTCGTTTTCTTGTCCAAAACTTTTCAATTACCTACAAATTCATGATTTAAAAAGAACTTTCCTTCTAACTTTAAATTTGCTATCATTTTATTTATAAATTAACATAATCAATTGCTTACTAACTGGTAACATCCGTGTAACGGCAATAAAATAAAATAGGTACCGGTACAACTCAAGAACACGTACGGAAGTTTCTAACTTAATAAACATTGTGTCGTTAACACAAAATTCCTTGAAGGCTTACATCACAGGTAAAGTAATCGATAAAATTAAATTGAAATTACAAAGTAAAAGTCTTTTGATAAAACACATTTTTGTTTCTTTTAGGAATTGCAATAAAGAATTTTTTCGACGAAATTTTAACCGAGGATAAGTCACGTTCTCGGTAGCTTGTAGCTCTTCGGCTCGCCTTAAGAAAGGTCAAATATGCGAAAAAGTCTCGGCCTTAGCAAGACGAGGAAACCAACCGGTTCGTTTGAGTGAAAGAGACAAGGACAAACTTGGAATGTTGTTTTATAAAATTCATTCTAACGTAGGAAGATAAGTTTTAAAGTAGACTAGAATTTTTTAAATACTTTCAACTAACCCAAAAAAGTGTCGTTCGCCAAAATGTTTCCTTTTATTCACTAAAATGATGATAAGTAATCCACTTGGTAACTTAATAACTTGGTGCAACTCAACAAAATATTTCACACAAAAAACTAACTAAACTTGAAACACAAAGAATAAGTTTTTTATTATAAACAAATCGAATAACTGTTTATTTATAAACGATAATTTCGAACAAACCGTACGATTACCCGCATGATCACTACCGTTGAACGAACGAACGACACTAAAAACATGCGGGAAGACTGTTGAGCAAAAGAAACGGAGAATAATGTTGAGTGGGGATCAACGACTCAGACTATTTGAGAGTAGAGGTGGTATTTCAAACTCTACACTAACAGAGGTCTCTTTCTTGCCTTTAATACAAGGTGGATACAGCCGGAGTTCCGTGAAGAACAAAGTTCGCAAGTCGTCGACCTGCAGTCAAGAAATAATATTTTATTTCTTTTAGATTATTTTGTAATTCTAATAAATACGAACATGAAGAGAAAGTTAATAATTTTTTTAATTTTCCCTTTCTAAAGAGAGATCAAAACGGAATGAATATATTAATGTATAACTGCATTCTGTTATCTTAATAATAAAAGTAGAACTGTTTTCGATATTAAAATAGTACTAGAGCTTTGTGTTTGATTTCCATTTGATCCTAAATAAGGAAAGTTGATAATTGTAATTTCACTGGATTTGTTTTTGAATGTGAAACACTGAAAAACAGTTCGTTAGGGTACCCTAACAAGGATTTCGAAATTGTGAGGGACAATAATAGCTGGGTATTCGTTCGGGACCCCGTAAAAGTTTTCATGTTCTCCAATTAAAAAGGACGACCTAATTTGGAGGAACCGCGTAGCTCGTTACGCCACCTGAATCAAGTTCTTCCATCGGCTGGTCATAAAAATTTGCATAACCGTCGCGCCTTTACTGCCTCAGATTAAAAACGCGAATATTTCATTTAAATTAATTGAACCATCACCGTCCAGAAAAAAACTAATTATCATCATCAAGCAAAAATGTTTGGAAACTCTCAACTAAAGTTACCTCAAACATTTCAATCTAACCGTGATAAATAAATGGTTTATCCAGGAAACTTAAAATTCCTCAAAAAGTTCCTTTATAACTTATAAAGAAAATTCTGTTTTTGTTAATATCAATATTTCCACCGTGCAACAAAAAACTCAAGCAAATCAAACATCCAATAAAATTGTTTAGAAACTTCAAATTAATAAATAAATATTAATCACTGAACTAAATCAATTTCAAAATTCATTATTTTAAAGTTTGTTGAGATTAATTATCATACCTTGGATCCATGTTTCATGAGGGTTTACAAATAGCTCATTGGAATGTGTATATGCCTCGTGTAAATATACGAAATAGCTTAGAAACCGAGTCGTGACGTTTAATACAACTCAAATAATTGATCTACAAGTTAGGAACTGTCTGCGTTCCTGAACCACCCATCCATTTAAACCGGATGTTCTCTACGTTATAAATACATAAAGAGCATAATTGCTTAATTTAAAGTAACAATTTAAATTATTTCTTTACCGTCGAAGATTAAAGGTTGGGTTAATCCCAAAGAAGTGATTTTGAAAGCAAGTTAGAAAATCAATATGATAATGAACCCTCTGCTTGGTAACGAATCCCAAAAACCTTTGGGAATAATACCTTTGGGATTACTCTTCTTATTGAGTAGACGTTTTATTTCGGGCGAAACTTTCGTTGGAATTTATCGGCCCGCATTAATAATAAAACGAAGGAGCCATTAGGATGCAAATGGTCCTGGAAAGTTTTAGGTAAATTCTCTTATCCCAAAGGTAGTCTTTTACTGAAAATACATTAAAAAACATTAAAGTAATATACCTTGTATGTATAAATACCACTAACATAACTACTTAAAAGATTTATCTTTTTTATTTGACCGTTTAAGCGGTTCAAATTGTGCGGAAGAAGAGTATATAGGGTTATTAACGTTAAGAATTTGTGATTTTGAAATTTCTGGTGGTAAACCGAGCGAATTTGAACGGTTGTTTGCACAGCTAACCGTATCGATTATGCACGGTAAGTCGCGAACGTTCGCCAAAAGCACGTTCTTATCAAATATCCAGTCGAGTGTGACTTAAACCGGAACCAAACGTTCAATAGACACCGCCAGAAAATTCACCTAGAGGTTACTTTAAATAAAATATGAAAAGCCAACAATACAATTTATACTAATTTCGAATTTAAAATTATGATGTTTTATTTTAATATGTAACAAATAGAAGTAACACTCCATTTAGCATTCTCTCTAAGGCGGTGTTCTTCGGGAATTGATACGGCACTTCTTAACAAAGTTATATTGCAAAAGTTAGCACGAAGCCACCGTTCTATGCGAACGACAGCGCTTCCTGTTTCTTCTTATTATGCAAATTGAAAAGCTCGAAGTCACCGGCACCACGCGGGTTTTCCACTTCTCTACGTTAGGTTTTCGGTTAGCTTCTTGGTATTTATTGCTGAGGAGTTGGCGAAAATCGCGAGGTGAACATCGCTCATAATTAAGGTACGACGGTAAAGTTATCGCCAGAACGGAGTTAAATATTTAACTGGTCGAGGGCACGGGTTTGTCGTTCAATGTTTAATTTTAAAGTGCTCGTTCGCCGACCGAGTTTGGCTTTTGTGTAATTTATGGATAAGTTCACGGGCGACTGCCTCCGGGAAATTTCGCACCGTTATTTTGACGGTACACCCCCGTTTGTCCTGTTTCCATATTTAATAACTTCCACTATAAATTTCCGCAAATTCTATTTTTTGATGTAAATATCGAATTCAATGCATTTGAAACATAAAAATGAACATTCTAGATAAGATATGAGGTAAAAAAATATATAGGAGCAATAAAACGTCCCCAAAGTCATCGATCATTTTTATAGGCACTTTTTTTTCGAGCAGGTAACCGCCGGACACAATTTTTTTCCGCTACCTGCGGACAAATGAGCCTCCCCGGGCACAAAGACTTCGAAACCGGCGACAAACTACCCTCTCGAGGGACTGTGCTTTCCAAATTAGCGGAAATGAAAAATTGCTTCACCTCAGATCCATTGTCGGCTCTTTTCTTCCAGCCACCTATCTCTTTTTTTTTCGTCATTTTCCCCCGAACTTATTTACTTTCTGAAAGCGATTTCCGTTTTGTTGGATCAAGAGGAATTACTTGATGGATTTCTTTGTGTGTGCGTATCGAAATGGGGTTGGTGTTTATCACTTAGATGAGGGGAGACAATGAAAGTTAACATTACCAAAGATAATAAGGGTGTGGTAAAATCTGTTAGTTAATATACATCTAAGTAAGTAAATGTTAGCTTATATCGTTTCGATCTAAAACTGTTTCAACATTGGATGTTTAACTGATCGCATGTTAATCTGATCGAGTTGATTAAATCAAAGCATCAAACAGATCGATTCCATTTGATGTTGATTTTGCATTTACGTTAATTTAGTTTTTAATAAAAGTGTGATAATACAATCTTTTATAACTCAATTTAAAAAGCTCATTATGGTTTTGTCCTGAAAATAAGGTTCAGGAAGTGTAAAGAAATTTTTAAGAAAATGGGAAATTAAATTAAACGCTATCTGTTAGTTTAAAAACTTAAATTAAACTGAAGAGCGTCCGTTTTCGTTGGTGTAACTTAACTTTTTAAAGGTATCCTTTTCTTATCTTTTCTTCTTTTTCATACCATTCTCGCGTTGTTGTTTAATTATCTCTTAAATGCCCTATTAATCATCCGCGTTACGTCTTTTTTTAAAGGTGTTACGAAATACCAGCACCCCTGCGAAAAGTTTTTACTTGGAAAGTTACCTTATCTTAATTAATTTTCCGGAAAATTACTGTCGGGTTGAGATTGGGTTAGAAACGACGTAAAGCATTTTTACATTACCGTCTTGAAAATCTTTTTGGCCAAACGTAATTTCACCCTTCATTCGTCCTTTGATTCATAGTCTATCGGCTGTTCGCACGGGTTTCTAATCCGCTTTCCATTCTACTCGGGATGAGCTTTACATAAATTTCCACCCAACGAGAAATATGCTAAGGAAAATATTTACCGGAATTTATAGCGGTAATCGTAAAGTTTCCAGAAGGGGCTCTCGAGTGGCATAAAAGCCGCCCCCTCAGGTCCCGGTATCAATCTCCGGCATCGAATAATAGAGCAATTGGAGTTGGGGATGGGGGTGGCTTCCGTTATAAATGTCTGTCGTTTACTTAATTTCTCCAAGATGCTTCAATTGTCCCGGGAGCCCCTCACTGAACCATCATTCAACTGGGATAATAAGTTGAAAAAGGTGCGTTTTGTTCAGTCAGTTAAATTGACCAAATTTGTAAGTGTTCAGTTCAAAGAAATTATCAACCTTAAATAGCACTCAATAAAAAAAAAAGTTTAAACTTTTTTGTTCACGAAATTAAAAAGGATACAACGAGATTCTCGCACTCATTAAAACCCTTTTTTTTTCCTGTCACCCGATGGAACCTTAATTAAATCCTCCCCTGTATCGATTGCCGTTTCTAATTTAATCCTCTCACCATTATCAAAGTGATTCGGCAGAAACGGATAATTACAGAGGAGTCGTAATTGCTTGAAAATTTCAGTTAGCCTCTGTTCAAGTGCCCAAACGCTGAATTATTAATTAACCGAAGAAGAGGACTCCGGCTTCTGTTCTCAGGAGAGCGAAATTGGAGAGGTTACCCATGTTCAACCGTGGGACTTCTGGGCAAGTTTTGCACCTGTAAGTGATGGTGCATCGAAAGATGCATTAATAATGGAATGTGTCTGAAAGCGTTTCCATATCCCACTCACGAACTTTTGTCTCCCGCCTCCAGGTATGAATAACTAAAAGAAAGAAAATGTTAAGAAGTAAACCGGTTGGATGTTAGAATGAAGTTGTTTCTTCGCAAAGTAACGAAACATTTAAAAAAATACATTTATATGTCACATTTCGGAATAAATCCAATTAAGATATTAACTCACTTAGATCATCAATTAAATCTTTCCGAGACTTTGCGATAAATCATTTAACCCAAAACTTTTTTTTGTTTACCCGTTATTGATACGATCAATCAAGAGCAAAAAAAAATATCGGTGTGAGAGAGAAAAGTTCTAACAGTAGAAAATAAATCAACTTAGGTATCAAATTAGGTGAGATGGGTGGAAAAAAGCTCCGGGAAATTTTTTGAAATGATCCTGCGGCAAAGGAAGTTTCAACGCTTAATATCACCACTCGGAGCTCCACTTTAAACTCAACCTAATTAACCTAGTTTTTACGTGAGTATGCTATGATATAAATGAATCTACCTTATCATTACTAAAAAGGGGATTTTTTTAATTTTTAATTAGTACCCTAATTTATTTTAATCATTTTATTATTAAAAAAACAAAATCTATACATTTTCTGTTAAACGTACCAAATCAAAAAACACGGTAACAAGAAATGGTTACAAGACATGGTTACAAGATACGGTTACAAATACACGAAAGGGTACAAAAGGGAATTCACGCCCTTAAGCGTAAACTCGATAAATTTAGAGGGAATATACGCAATAGAGAATGCCTGTGTAATCGATCGCGAGCAGACTTCGAGAGCACCCTCTAGGCGCGTGAAAATTTATGGGTTTCCATTTGGATATTGCCGCGTCGAAGTCGCGTTTCTTCTTCTTTCGATAAAGACATCCTTTGTGTCGTATAAAAAATACGGTTCGTAGTAAGCGTCTCGGGTCAAAGGTCACCACATCCATGTATTGTGCGTGTATATAATACATCAAATGGATGCGGGAAAAAAGGGGGGATAGCGACTTGGAAGAAGACGTCAAGGTATTTGATGGGATAGCTTTGCTGGGAAGTTTGTTTAACTTCTAAAGTTGAATTGTATGAGGATAAAAACAGACGTGTGTGGATTTTATCTGTTTTGATAATAAAAATGGAAAAAAAGTTTCGAAAGTTAGATGAATATTTGGATGATGTTGAAAGTTAACATTAGTTATATTATTATTGTAATTATTTTGATTAACAAAATTGATCAACTTTTGAGAACTACTCAATATAGTTATTTGAATCAATTATCTCAATATTACTTTTTTTTTATCTCCTGAAATCACATTAACACCTCGTTTTGTTTTTGAGCATTTGTCATGTCATATATATAAGTTTTCATTCAATTATAGTAATTTTTCAAATAAATACAGTAGAATGTTGATAAAGTAATTGCGTGCCACCCACGCACTTGTTGTTCCATACAAGTTACGTTAAAGTATAAACCGTATGGGACATGTTACGATTCATATCAGTATGAGTTGCGTTCCAAATGAAATGAAATATGCTATGCGAGTGTTTTATAGCAACAGGATTTTTTTGTATAGAGGTCAATATAAGAAACCTCTATGAATTTTAATATATCCACCCCCCGTTTTTGTGTTTTCGGACAAACGTAATTCTGATAAGTGCGAGCTTGTATAATCCCCCCATTTGCCGCGTCGAAACCCCGAGGGTTTTCTCTTCACGTCTCTCGGTAACCGGGTATCATTTATTCGGTCTCCCCTTTCGCACCCGTTGGAGTCATTCCCGACTGTGCAACCAGAGAAACGCGGTGGTGAAATCCCGTTGTTTGTGCAACCGAAGCTTTCACGACCATTATATGCGTCGAGTCCGATAGGGTTGTAACCAAACCCTCCCCCAACTCAAAGCACCACCAACTCCCACAATGGTCGGGGAACAATTAAAGGATCCGCGGTGGTGTGAAGTGCAGTGTTGAGGGCTGTTATGCAAACTGTGGTGGGCCTGGTTTTAGTGAAAGCTTTCTACTTCGATATTAAAGTAGCAAGTATCGCGCTTGTAAAATTATCTCTTGAGATTGCTCGTTATTTTACGAAAATTTCTCGGGATGGTAGTAGGATTAGCCGGAAACTCGTACCTACATTACCGGTTACACGCATGGATGATGCCAAGTCGAATTACCAGCAATAATCGGGATTGGTCACCAAGTAACCAGGAAATCCGAAATTGCAATTAGCGGTCCCGGATATAGGAACCCCAAACGGCGAAGAACGGAAACTAAATTGCCGTTATTTAATCCGAATTAGGGCACGTGCTTGCAAGTTACTCGCGACGCTCCGTCCGGTTTCAACTCGCTAACTAGAAAACGGAGCCCCCAGCCAGAGGTCGCAACCTGCGAATACGCAAACCGCTGCTTTCAACTTGTGCAGTTCGAATTTTATTTGTATACCCTTGTTATAACCGCAGTTTTAGCACAAGTTGTATCCTAGAACATTTGTGCTGCTTGATAACACTGTTTTGTCCACAAAACTTGGATCAAGTAAACTCCATAGCAAAGAAATACAAATTTAATTGTGAGGTAGAGGTAGAAGAAATCTCATCCATTCACGCAAATGTGTTGCGAGGAGAGCTTTTAAAGCATATAAAGGAACTTTGCGACAAAAGGTGCACCGAACAAAGAATAAAGACCGTTTATAGAAGGAATGTTTTTTGGGGCATTCAAAATAGATTTACTGGATACTTAAATCTGTACATTTTAGGAGTCTTTTCCATTAACATACCTCTCCGCTCAATTTACGTGCCAATTTAGTAACTCGAAAACTCGCTCCAACTCCCACCTGACTAATGGGTGAACACGACGCGATCCGAAATGGCCCCAGGACACCTGAACTTCCTACTAAATTCCGACGACAATAACTACGTTGGGCGTCCGATTCCAAGTAGGAATTAAAGACGCGACTGGACCCACGATCCATAACACGGCGACGACAACGTCTAAACTAAACACATTACACCGAACTAGTCAACAATTAAAGAGCAATTTGCTCGACGAGTTATTATAGTAAACGGTTTCATCGTTTCTCCTGCGTATGGGGAGGGACACACGATGTAATTACGGGCCTGTAATGTGCACACGGGCATTATGGAACCAAGTGCGGAAATTGAAGCGTTTATGTGATGACGACCTCCCTCGTAAGTGTTACAAATAAATTGAAGAGAGGCAAGAAAGGAATTCCGCAATGATAAGGGCTAAATGGAAAGGGGAATTAAAACTATCAAGTTTAATAGTGTGGAGTTGTATTGGTTAAGCTATTTCACTGATACGAGGGGCGTTTTAATTAAAAATTAATCATCAGTGGAGAAGTATACAAATGGTGTAACATCAACACAAACGTATATGTTGGTTAATATTTATCGATTGTATTATTCATGACAATGGGTATTTAATGTTTCAAAACTGTATAAATTTCATGAAATATTCAAAATGGATATGGTTTAATTTGGTTGGATATTTGAAATCATCCCGCAACTTTTTTTATTTTATGTAACAACTCCATCATTATATACAATTTGTATTCATACAGCGCAAGTTGTAAAAAAAATAATGATTTTTCTAATAACTTTTCGTAATTAAAAGTTTTAGCAGACGTTGGTAGGTTTATAAAATATCCTGTGTAGTATTAACAAAGAAAATACAAATCTGGTTCTTTACTAAAGCTCGGATGGAAACTCGTTGCATTTTAGGAACGAGGTCAACTTTGATGTTTAGAGTATGTGTAAGAATTCCTTATTGGCGTATACGTATTTTCAGATTAAATACCGTAAGTTTAATGAAAACTGCCCCTTTTGCATCGAAACTCACCATAGAAGAACATTCTTACGGTACTTGCGGTTTTAATATAACTATAAAAAAGCTAATTAAAACTTTACCGCAAAACATCGTAGAAATTTATAAAATAAACTCAAAATTAGATTTTATATCATTAAAAATAAAACGACAATAACGAGGCGGGTAATGCAGAAAGTTTGTTATAAAAATAAGGTTATTTCATATATCACACGCTTCGTTTGGCAAAAATGCAATTTCCCGGTGTTTCCAGGTCCGAGTTGTATCCACATACACACCCAGACCTAATTTAATACCAAATAATTTTCATTCGCGCTGGTTAGTTCGTTGCACAAGCTAATCTTAACAATTACCACTACTCTATGTGTTTACACGGTTTCTAACTAATTATTCGTTTTCACATGAACAGTTTAAAACCCGTTTTGTTTGTTAATAATTTTAACACTTTACCCAATTTGCCAACTTCGGTTATAATTTTTTATGAAACGAAAGTTGAAGAAAAGTTTAACACAGGAAAGGGGACCTTTTTCAATTTTGTTTAGAGCTCGTACAACACCGGAGAATAAGGGGGTTTCGTACCCTTATTTTATGTACCTCTAACTGCGCAAAAGTGGCGAATTTCCCCATCCTGAGATGGGCCCCCCAACATTCATAAATAACCGTTAGTAGAAAACTAAGAAAACTCTAGAGTTATAAGCGCGAGTTCTCGCAGATAATGTTTACGATATCTAATTTTAACTTGGATATATCTTTTCTCTGTTCCTTTTGTTACCAAAAGAAACTTCTTCGTGTATTCAAAGTTTTATTGACGTTCATTCATCTCTTGATCTCAAAGCAAGATATTCTTTATTTCACAGGGAGTTAAAAAAATCCTTTTTTCATTAATTCGGACCACAACACAGAAAGGAAAAAAACCTAATTAAACCCCCTCCTTGCAATGCAGAGAAAGGGTATATTCTGGGACTTACTCAGGCGAAACGTAAAAACAACGAAATCACGTGAATTCTGTATCATTTGTTAACCCTCATAAAAAAAATCTACAAAAACCCAACCGAAAAAAGGGCGGGTATATTTCGTCGTTCTTTGTTATCCCATCCCGGGGCTAAGTTTATTTCTTCGCCCCTTTAAAAATATCACCGCCCCCCAGTTTTAACTTCTTACCGCCCTTTTTAAGCAGAGAAAGGGTGATAATGGGACGTTATTTCCTTCGTAATTTAGATACTAACTGAAATTAGTGAGTTTACGAGGGTTGCTGAGATTTCGCGGGATTATACAAAATAATTTGTTATTTAAAAAACAAATAAGTATAAAATAAAATCTCAAAGATTTTTCAGTACAAATCGTATTCCCATTAAAAATAAATGGATTAAGGTTTGGGATTAAATTAAAAAAAAATATAAATAATTTCCATTCCATAAAATAATAAAAAATAAATCCTAAAATCGTTTCTGTACTTAGCGGTTGCATCTTCTTAATCCAAATGGGGAATACTCTAAACTACCTCCTTAACCGTTTCGAAATGATAACATTCGAAAATCCGCCTTCTAAGTTCTGACAAAGGTCCATTAGTGGTCGGACGAAGCTTTCATTGCAGGATTGTCTTTGCGGTTGGAACTTACCCCCCGCTTTACCTTCTCTTTCTTAACTCCTCCATTTTGCCCTTCCAGCTTTCTGCTTGGCGGGCAGCAGCGCACGACGTCTCAATTTCTTAGGAGTTTGCTAAAGTCCTGGAATGCCTGGGTTATCCCTAAGGGGTAAGCGCACGGCCTCGTTAAGAGATTCTATCGTCCCGACGCAATTATTAGAAGAAATTTATAAGGCAGGGCGGCGTTCGAATTAATTTCTACGGGGTTGGAACACTTAAGCACCAGTCGGTATTTGGGAAGAACCCCTTTCGCGTGTAGAAGGGATCCTATTTGTGTGTTGTAATTGCGGATGCTTCGGATTGTTCTATGACTAAAGGAGGATTCGCTATTCCTCGGTATGTTTACGCATGTTAAATTTCAAATATATCTTTTTTAACGATTTTTAAAAGTTGTAGTAGAAAAATGGTTACCGAGCAAAAACTATTTACAACGTATTCAATTTTCGGAGGGCGAAACGAAGCTCGTTTCCGGGCGCGGAAGCATAGATAAATTATAACAATAAATTATTCGCTATCTGGAACAACTAATGCTTCTCTACGCGTGGGCAGACGTTTCCCGGTCGTTTTTGGTATCAAGTGATGTATACGAACGTTAAAATTACAATTAGAATAAAAAAGTTGCTTGAAATAAATATCAACGTAGATCCATTTTGTGAGGGACATTTGAAATGATTCGATTTGGTCTAACGACCTCGAAACAGAGTCCGATGTATCTGTTTCTTTTGGGGCATGGTCAGCATAAAAAGGCGGATTACACTGGAGGCGAGTCATCTATCAATTTAACAATGCCCGAGTTGCTACAGCTCGCCGTGACCCCTCACCACATTTTGTACTTTTTTTGCTAAACCCCCTTCAGGCTTCACCTACACTACACGAGATACGCCATAAATAATTCATCTCGCTCTAGATAGAACTAACAATTCCAATTTTTTTTAATCTCTACGAATTAGTTTAATTTAACTAAAACTAAATTTGTGGTTACGAACTGTCGGAGGCAACAGCCCAAGAGCAATGAATAATTAATGACGGGTCAAGGGTCGTTGACTAGGCCTAAACCCGTCCTCAGAAGGGATTCCTAACAACTCATTACGAACGTTGGAGTGTTTCCCTTGGGTGAAGGCGAATTTCGAATGCACGAGATAATTCCTTGGGACACCATCTGCGGCCTTCGAGTCATGTTTATTCGGCTTTCCCTTTAAGAATAATTGTCCTGGGCCCGGATCGCTATCTAGGTTAATTGACCACTTCAGTATTTCAAGATGTCCGGCCCTCAGACCACAAGGGATTTTAACGGAATATATGCTCGCTACGACGAAAGAAAAGTTAAAATTCCATTTTATACAGTTTGTTTTTAAATTTAGTTAGTTTAGGTTGTGTTGTTTGAGTCTCAAGAGGAAAATTAAAACTAAACTTTGAACATTGTATGGTAAAATCTAGCGTTTACGAGTTTTAGTTTTAATGTTTGTCACTTTCCGTTTAAAGGTTTGTATCATTTAACTTTAACAGCAGAATAAATTTTTTCTAAGAGTTATTTTGAAATCAACATCATGATTTTAATACAACCCTTAAAAAAGTACAATTGTGAAGATATCGTTAGAAAAGTTTCTACAATCTTCGTGGAATGAGGCAAAGGAGATAACGGGTATAATCTAGTTAGCACATTGTCAGGAGTGGACCGTTTCAGTAGATTGCTTTAATTCCTGTTTCAGCTTTTTCCACGAACGGGGCACACTCCACTCGCAGATAGAGGAGGAACTTTCCATTTAGATGCAAAGTGGCTAATAATGGAAAACCAGAACTGAACACTTAAAGCTCGCGCCTCGGCGAAGTTTGACTTTACGTACCGCGATAATAAAAAGGAGTATTTTCAAATGAAGTGTACCTTTGTCGTAAATTGAAATTAACGTGGTCGGGTAGCGTAATGTGGTAGTTAGGGAGTTTGTCAACACGCCCTACAACATCCTAACTCGACGCTTCTAATTCGAATATATGACCCAGAAACAATTAAGAAGTGCCGCCGCCTCTGGGGCGTCTTCAACGGAAATTAATAGGGCCTTAATTTTCTGCGACAAACACTCCGCTTCCGACCGATAAGGATGGATCATGGTATCCACTACCGCCTTCAACCTTCTGTGTGGTATAACTGTGCAACTGTGGGTGAAAGGATAATTTATTAAGCCGTTGTTCTTTTTCTACCAAGCGGAAAAGCAATTTTTCCCTAGTGTCCTTTTCATCTCGACTCGGATATATAACGAGATTAAATTATTTCAAGTAGAGAAGCTGACCCCGCGAGTGGAAACTGGAGATATATAATTAGAACTAATCCTCCAAAATACCCAACCCTATTCCCCTGTCTCTAAACCCGACCTCACCGCACGATTAGTCGATTAGCTTACAAAACGGCAATCTAATTTAACCAAAATCAAATTTATAATTGTATAATTAGATTTACTTTTTATTTCAAGGATTAAAACGATTGTCGCCGAAATTTATCGACCGTAAACGGCAGAAAAAGCAAACCCCAGATTATAACTCTTCAGAGCATTTGGGAGTTTGCCAAGTTAAGGCTTGAAAATCTTGTCAAGTCAATTCCGATCGTGATTGCAAGGTTGTTCAACTGGAGCGTGGTAAAGCTGTACATTGATTGAAGCCCCACCCGAGGAAAGAACTTCGATTTTCTTTGAATGTACACTACGATTGAAATTTTTAACGTCTCAGCATCATCAAAGATATACAAGATACAAACACATAAAAAGTGAAACACAAAAAAGAATTAATTTAATAAAGGAATGGTTTTAAATCGAAAAATAATCCTCCCTTATAGTGACCGAACGATCCTCCACTGAGGGTGTAATCGAGTTTTTCCAGTTTAATCCCCGCTTCTTAGAGCGCAGTTTTACGGGGCCGCGAAATTAACTTTTAAAAATTTAAAACTCGTTAAAAGTCGGTTAGCGCGCTCCTCCAAAACATAAAATTCTCAAAACTGCAAGCGCAGGTTAGCTTTATGGGGTTGTAGTTCTCGCCGGGCAGTGCATAAATGGCCCAACTCTCATCCTCCCCCCGATAGTCGTTAAGATCAGGCGTCTCTTAATGCTGGAAGTTACACCCCTAATACATCAAAAAATCCATAATATTTAATGATTTATTTACTCAAGAAATTGTTAAAGATTTTCTTTTAGATTATCCCTTTAAAGACGACATTAATTCAATTCATACCCTTTTGATCACAAGCCCGATTTAGATTTATCCCGATTGAACGCCTCGTTCTATCCTCAATGAGCCCTACACGTTCCATCTTCTGTGGGAAATGTTATAAGAAAAAGGGGGGGATTCAGAAACCTACCTTCGCGGCTTCATCCGGCCACGTGCACTTTGAAAAGACGACGTGGTTTTGAAAAGACGGATTGCTAATGCAATTTCACGGGCGTCGCAACGAAGGCGATGTCTGTTGAAAGTTGATGTTCATGGATAGACGAATTCCATGGAAAGTCGACACCCTAAGAAAGTCAACACTCTAAGAATGTCGACATCCTAAGAAAGTCGACATCCATGGAAAATCGATGTCCATTTAAGCTTGACCTCCACTGAAAATCAACGTAGATTTTTTGTAGGTGACATCCCACCGGAAATAAAAGTCATTAATAAAGCTCCTAAAACAAAAAGCACTCTAACAGATTGGAAACATCTATAGTGAAGTTTTTAATCTTGAGTTATGTGTAGTTTCAAAAGACGGTTGTCAATTCGAAGTATATGGTAAATTGAACGGTTTTTCAATCGATTCGATTTTAATATAACGTCCGGACCACCTGGGTCTATCTCCCTTCTCCTTCTCCCTCTTTGAAGATGTTTCCACGACAGTTTACGATTAATCTTAACTTATCGAAAATTCAAACAAAGCGTGTATCGGACGTTAAAAATTGAACCATCTATTTGATACATTTTCTATTAAATATTTTTATCGCACTTTTTAAATACAGTAGAAGCTCGATATTACGAAACACGAAAAGAATAAATTAAGCATTTGCTAATTCAAAGTGTAAATAGTAGATATGTGTGACGTCACGAACGGGCCTTCGAGCTACGTACCTGTTCCCGGGATGTAGTACTCCTACCGTCCTTGGTAGAAATATAAAGCCATAAAACCGAGTTTTGGCTATAACGGACACTACCTTTCCCGTATTAGTCCGTTATATCGAGGTTTTACTGTACTTTCTATCTTGGATTTTATATTGAGAATGTTGTATCGTTGTCGTCGTCTTCGTTCCGCCCCGAAGCTTTATTTTATTATCGTCGATTCCAAGCGGATCGGATCGCAACTTTTTTGCCTCGATTTCCATATCTCGGCTTCAACTCGGTTTACATCTGCACCATCCCTTCGGGAACCATCTAATCGTACTTTCAGTGACAATCTGTCCATTTCCGAACGGTTTCTAGGGCTGTTTCCGGTGCCACCTTCGGCCTCTTTGTTTCCTCAGGTTCGTTTTTGGAGTACATTTACGGAACGATAACCGGTTCAATTTTCTGTGAATCGAGTCGATTCGACTCGGAAAATAGGTATCTAAAAGTAGATGATATATTAAGTAACTAGTAATAACGGGTGGATTTAGTGGATTCAAAATGAATGCGTTTTAAATTAAAATTTGCGGGGAATAGAAGTTGCAAGTTTTTAATAACGTTCCCTTCACAAGAAGAGGTATGAACTCGAGATTTTTTCGACGTCGTCACTAGAGATCAGTTTCCGCTCCACAGTTTGATTCATATCTCCCTGCAACAATTCTATGAAGAGAGGTAATAACGAAAGTATTACATTCGAAACGTTACATTCATAAATTGTTATTATGCCGTAGACACAGTTTGGCTTTATAAAAGTAAATTCAGAGTGCGGCTTTATTACGCGGGACCGTGATGGGTTTAAAACCGTCGGTGCGTGCTGTTCTGGTTCCATTTCGGGGTTTAAAACCATATCCCAAGGGATATTACGTGTTTATTGATCCCGTCCGACGCATGTTTCAACGTCATATGGAATATTAATGCGGCCTGGAAATTATTACACCAATTTTTCTTGTTTGAGTTTTGGGAATTAGACGTTTTCGGAAGATATGGGTAGCAAAGACGGAAATGAAGTTAAAGTCTACGTTAAGTGTATCCACAGAGTTTGAGAAGCAACTTTCTCAACTACACCAAATTGACGTAACCGGTACACGAAAAGGAAATTTACCAGACGAGCACCGAGGTTTGAATCGGCCCGAATTCGAGACGTTTTAGGTAGCAAAAGTCGCCCTAATGCAGGTAATTTAAACTTCTCGTCTAATTCCAAAGTTTTGCACATTACAACCGCCGGAACTTAAGACGCGTACCTAATTACCTCGGATAACTCATTGTGCCCATTCTTCTTTAATGCACTACTACTGATTTTAATTGCATCTTATTCAATCTTGTCATCATTTCAATGTGATAGTTAGTTTGATCGGCGCTGCGGTGATAACATCGAGGACCTAAGCTGATGGGGTCTTGAACATCTTCTTAAATAACTGTCATTATTTCTGGCTTTATTAACTTCAAAGATTTTTGATGGTCTCTAAAAAATATTATAGGATAAGTTATGTCAAGAAAATTTTGCTTTCTTTTGCCTTTCTGGTATAAATAAGACAAAATATAAAAGAAACTTAATATATTGAGTTGATTACCTTTAACATTTACCATGTCTAAATAAATTTATGCTTGCACATACTGAAAAAAATTTTTCATAAAGCATTTAACGGTTCGTTATTAAATTTTTTTCAGCATTAATGAACAGTCAAAAAATATGAGACCAACCGGCATAGAATTTTTTTGTTTGAAAGCACGTAGTCGACGAAATTCCCAATTCGCTCCGGAACATGACATAAAAAATTCAATATTGAAATGGGACGGGCGAAAAAAAAATAATTTATTGGGTATTAATAATTCGGCGGTGGTGGCGGCGGCGTCGCGGCGCCGAGCGTCATAGATTTCAACCCGGATATTGCGCCGAACAATAAATCAGTCAAAACGTAGCTGCCCGTTTGCAAGACTAAATCTAATGAATGACGTGGAGCCCGTTGAAACCGACGCTTCCAATTTTGAAATTTTTCAACACCAAACCACCGACCGAAATTGAACGATCCCGCTCTGCGTGTACGCAATTTCCGTTTTATTAAAAAAATCTTTTCATTTAATCGATTTAAGCAAGAATAACACATCACAATCCTCGTATTTACCAAACAACTAATTACGAGCAGTCGAAACAACGCGGGGTGTTTATTATTATACGTCAGCGTTCCGGGGGGATCTGGGGAGCGCTAAATTCAAAATGAAACGTGCGCCTCGACGCAACGTTCGCATTAATGCAAATGTAACCGGTTGCGCGAATTTTGCGGCCAAAACGTGCTGTTCGCCGGGGAGAGATCCGTAATTTATCGCCCGACCGAATTAGCATTGCGAATTCAATACGCGACTGCCCCTAAAAATTACACTCTAATCGATCTCGCACCGTTTATTGACGTATAAATGATGATATTGATAACTCAATAGAACAAGTCATGCAAATTCACTATTTACGCGTACACATATTTAGCAATCATGATCTAGTGAAAGACTTGAGGAACCAACTGATCTGTATGAGAATAGACAGCAAAATACGGATATATGTACAAGCCGCGTATACGATCGATAATGACATACGGAATAAAAGTAAGGGTAGAAACAAGCAAAACCAAGAGCATGCTACGAGTGGTTGAGATGAAGACACTAAGATCAATTGCAGAGAAAACAGAATGGACAGAGTGAGAAATTCCAGTGAGGGATCAATGCAACGTTCTAGACATAGTGAGATGAGGAAGACAGCGGAAAAGACAATGGCATAATCAGATAATTATAATTAACAGATCGGCGGATCTCCGATAAGAAGAAGAAGAAATGATACGTAACTATCGTATATTATCAGCGAAACATAAATGTTTTATTAATCATTTAGTACATGATTTTAGAAATTTATAAGAAAATAACTTTTTGTACGCACATTGTATGTAAATATACTTTTAAAGCACGCCTTGTATAAACATAACAGAACGTATCCAAACTTGTCAAATAAAATTTTTGTGGTTATGTTGTAATAAAACGCAAAAACCAAATGATAACAAAAACCTCAAAATTATTTACTCAAATAACAAGAATAGCAAAGAATTCGAAATCAACGCTTATTAATTCAACTCAAATTCGTGCAAACACCAACATAAAAATGGTAAAATATTTAACACAAACTGAAGCGACGAATATAGATATTGAACTTTTTAATGAATACAAATTCAGCGTTGATCAATTAATGGAATTGGCTGGTTTAAGTTGTGCGACGGCGATAGCAAAGGTTTATTCAACAAATCAATTTCAAAACTCACAAATTTTGGTGTGTTGTGGTCCTGGGAATAATGGTGGAGATGGTTTAGTTTGTGCGAGACATTTAAAATTGTTTGGATACAACACGGTTGTTTATTATCCAAAGCGAACTGATAAAGATTTATATAAAAATTTAACTCATCAATGCATTTCAATGAACATCCCAGTATTGGATGAATTACCAAATAAAACACAAATTAATTCTTATGGTTTATTAATTGATGCTTTATTTGGTTTTAGTTTTAAACCTCCGGTTAGACAGGAATTCGTTGAGGTGATTGAGTTGATGAAAAATGGGAATATTCCAATCGCAAGGTAAAAAATATTTGGGTGAATATTATAAATTTTTCTTTTTCCATTTTAGCATTGATATTCCAAGTGGTTGGCATGTTGAAAACGGTGAACCCGAACAAGGAGGAATTAAACCGGAACTTTTAATTTCTTTAACAGCACCAAAATTATGTGCAAAAAGTTTTAAAGGGAAACATTATTTAGGTGGGAGATTTGTTCCTTTTAAATTACAAGAAAAATATGGTTTAAATTTACCTGAATATCCAGGAACAGAATCTTGTGTTCTTTTAGGATAATCTAACAAATATTTCATAAAAACAATATTATTTAAATTACTCAATTTATGTAAAAGTGAGGTTAACTTCATTTGACAATTAAAACATGATTTAAACCTGAAGTTAGTTGCAAATATCTTTTATGTCATTTTGACATTTACTGTCAAAAATCAATATCAATTTATAAATATTTACGAAAATTTATTATTAAATTGTTATAAAATTATTTTCTTAGTCCTCTTCTAAACTTCTTTTTTCTCCTTTTTTATAATTAACCAACAACTCTTCGTCTAATTTAAAACTAACCCTCATCATCTCTTTGAAAGAACTCACCGTTCTCACTCTAAACAAACTCAGTTTATCCCCAAGATCCACCCCTAAGTTTTTCTTTATCATCTCTTTGGTGATTTCTTCAAAATTTTCACCTTTAGCGAAGCAATAAACAAAAATAACAGGTGGATTAACCATTTCCTTAATCTCCCCATCACTGTACATTCCTTTAAAATGATGTAAAAACTCTACAGCTAAAGCAGGTAAATTCATAACAATATAAACTTGCTTTTTGTTATTAATATGCTGTAATAATTCTTTTTTAATAACATTTTCAATAAAATCGTGTCCATCGAGATTATAACTTTTTAAATTAACCTTATTTTTCTTAACATTATGGTTTAACCAAAAATAAGACTCTGGGTTTAAATCGTTTGCATAAACATCACATTTTTTCTTCGCACATGGAATTGAAAATGGACCAACACCGGCAAAAACATCAAAAAGAACATTTCCTTGTTGAATAATCTTAACGATTCTTTCATGTTCAGTACTCAGCCTTGAATTCCAATAAACAGTAGCAAAATCAAATTCAAATATACAATTATTTTCTTTTAAACTCGTTTTTGTTTCATTTTTTCCACAAAGTACTTCCATTGAAAAGTTCCGGTAAGTATTATCAATGTTGTTTATTTTATTAACAACTGTTTCGCAACCACTTATTTTATCCAATAACACCTCTCCGATTAATTTCTTAAAAGGTAATAAGTGTTCTCTTAAATTTACGTGAATTATATGGCCAATTTGAGTGAAACTAGCCATACCTTCTTTATCTGAAGGTAAAACCGCCCTTAAAATATCCTCAGCGGTGAAATAATCATATTTTAATTCAAAATCTTCCATTTTGAGGTTAGATTCGTTGATTGAAAATTTTTTTAAATTGTTTTGTACTCCAAGCTCTATATCATCCCATCTTTTAATTCTTAAGGGATCTAAGAACAATATAGTACTACTTTCTTTGCTTTGTACGGCTTTAAAGTGTTGTAACTTTAACAAATAAGGCTTAAAATATATTAACACATCGGAAATTTTAACTCCTTCAATATAAACTTTCGGTATTTGTATTTTTCTTGTGAATTTCTCTCTATTTAACTCAATCATACCATATACATCGTAAGGTTTTAACATTTTAGTTTCATTTAAAATTAAACTTGTTAAATTACTCAATTTACCTAAAAGTGAGGTTAACTTCATTTGACAATGAAAACATGATTGAATCAAGGTTCTGAAGTTAGTTGCAAATATCGTTTATGTCATTTTGACGTTTACTGTCAAAAATCAACATCAATTTTTAAATATTTAAAAAGAAATCTCTTCGATTTTTTAATGAAACAACCAAAATGACTTCAGATTTCCGTAATTTTTTGGAATACGACGTTTATTCAACTGATATATCCCAATTAAGCGATGTCAGTGGTTTGTGTAGGTTATGTTTGGATAAATGCGATGATAATGTATCAATTTATGAAAGCATAAACGTTTTCGAGCAAGAAACAACTATTATATTCGACGAATTACAACAATATTCCAATACTGAGGTATTTATGTGAAATTTATTTGTTTAAAAGTGATTTTAATTATCTATATTCTAGCTTACAAAAGACCCTCGATATCCAACATGTATTTGTTCAAATTGCTTAAATTTAGTAAAGGTTTCTTTAAAAATAAGGTTACAAATGAAGTTAACACAAAAAGAGTTAAATAAGTTCTTTAGTCGATTACAAGAAAATGTTGATGCTAAAGAGGAAATAACTCAAATTAAATGTGAAGGTGAAAGTGATGATGCTGTAGATGATATAGAAGGAAATGAAGATGAAATAAATACAGATAATTTGAATAGTTATGATGGGTTTTTAAACAATTTAGGAACCGTTATATCAGCTAAATACGATGATTCTGATTCTGACACACAAATTCAAATAGAAGAACCTTCCATTGAAATAATAAAATTTATCAACAATGATACATCCGAAACTAAATCAAAACCTTTATATAAGTCAAATAAAAATAAAGAAAATCCCAAAACAATAAAACGCAACAAAGATAAATCTCCACAGTTACTATGTCAAATATGCGGCTTTCTAGCCACAAAAAATCAACAATTAAGATATCACATACACTCGAAACATACTATAAATGAGCGCCGTCATGTTTGTAATATTTGTAATAAAGCTTTTGTTTGGAAACACACTCTTGAACAACATAAAGCTGTTCATAACAACGAAAGACGATTTCTATGCACAGTTTGTGGCAATAATTTTAATTACCTAAGCGCGTTAATTTATCATATGCGTATGCATACTGGCGAAAAACGTTATCGATGTACTTATTGCCCAAAAGTTTTCAGTATGTCCTGGGGATTAACACGTCATTTACGCGTTCATACCGGCGCAAAACCATACAATTGCGAATTTTGTAATAAAGCGTTTGCTTCAACAACCGAAGTTAAAAGCCATGAACGTGTTCATACCGGGGAGAAACCGTTTGAATGTCACGTTTGTCACAAAAAGTTTACGAAAAAAGAAAACATGAATGTACATTTTTTAACGCATAGCGGACAGTCTAAATGCAATATTTGTACCAAAGGGTTTATGAACCCTAAAATATTGAAACTGCATCACAAGTTTGCGCATAATCAAAGTGTGAAAAAAGTTAAAAAGGCCAATAATGCAAAGGTAAATGAAAATGAAGAAATTATTGATAAAGAGTGTGTGGGAAGAGAAGGTGAAGAACTGATAAATGTGGTGGTGTATGATGAGGGAAGGGATGAACAACTTGACATTGAAGGAAATCGTGAAGACTTAATAGATGAAGATTTGGGTTAATTTGTATTGAGATGTATTTTTTAAAAATTTAAATAAATGTATTTAAAAATTGAATGTTGAAATCTTGTGAAGTTTTGGTAATTCCCAGGTTCCATGTTTATAAGTTCGATGGGTTTATCCATCAGAAAACTAAATTATAATTAAAAAAAGTTCTTGTTAGATTGTTACCTGAATTAAACCAAATTAAACTGTCATTTATTTTCTTTGACACTTGATGTGACGTTTTCATAGACTTTTAAAACATCGAAAAGTTACATAAAAAAATAATTAATTATCAACGTATTTCATTAAAATATTTATTAATTATTCATTATTTCATTATTATTGGTTTTTTAACATGAAATAAAGCAAAATGTGAAAGTGTAACAAATTATTTTAATGATGAAATCAAAAAAAATTTTGACATTTTGTACATGTACGAAAAATCATTGAACAAACTAACCTATTTGTTGAGGATACAATTTTTTTATATTATTAAATAATAATAATATGGAAACTATCTTAGAACAACAACGCCGATATCATGAAGAACGAGAGCGACTCGTCGATACAATGGTGAAAGAAATGCTTCATAAAAAAACCAGCGTAAGTAAATAATTTATAGGTTATGTTTAAAAAATTTCGTTTTTATTAAAAGCAATCGATAAATATGGTCATTTCTAGTATAGAGAAGCGATTAATTCAGATCACCGCTTAAAATATCTTTTGGATAAGTATTTAACCAGCACGGAACGCCTCGTTGAGCTTTACGAGGATAAAGATGGACAACGGAAAGCCGAAGTTGCAGCTTTAACCGGACCGAATGAGTTTCAAGAATTTTATAATCGATTAAAACAGATTAAGGACTTTTATAGGAAACATCCGAATGAGGTGATATAATAAATTCGTAAATTATAAAATTTTTGTTAACATTGATTTAAATTGTTGCAGATTAGCGTCCCGATGTCTGTGGAATTCGATGAATTAGCTAAAGCTAGGGAAAATCCTACTGAGGAAATGGCTAGTAAGTAAATACAGTGTACTCCGGATATAATGAAGCCTTAAAGGACCTGAAAATCGGTTTGTTATAGGCAATAATTAAAAAAAAATCATGAATTAAATTTATTTAAATTACAATTGATAATAATCATTATTAAATTGAATGAAATTAAACAATTTGGGAAAAAACTCAGTAAAAACATACGTTTATTTCAACAATAAACACAAAGTAATGGTAACAAGTTATTTAAAAAACTCAGGAATTTTGGTTTGAATTTGAGGATTTGTTGCAATTATTTGAAATATTTTCCGGTAATGCTAGCGATTGTAAACACCGCCAAATTTCATACAATTTTTGTAATGCAGAACAATTCGACAACGTTTCAATTTCCTCTTCATCATCTCGTTCGCAAATCTCTCTATACAAAACTGTAGCGGCAGTTTTCATCACAATTTACGTAGTTTTGCGTAAGATTCATTTCGGCGTTGTCGTATTCTTCATCAAACATTTCTGCTTCTTTATTGACATAGAAACCGGCTTTTTCGAATGAGAGAATGAATTATCCCATGGTCCATTGGCTGAAGTTATTTGGTGGCATAAAAATCAACTAGATGGAATTTAAATTAAAGATGTTTGGGTGAGCAGGGCATTTATCAATCAACAAGGCTATTTAACGTTTTTCTTGGTTAATTCCATATCAAGATTTTTCAATTTGCCTATGACCACTATTTACGTTTCTCAGTGTTAGACATATTGGCGCATATCAACACCGTTATTCTGTCGTTTGACAACTTTCCCCCCTTTGTACTTTTCTCTTTTAAAGTTTAAATGATTATTAGGAGTAAGTTTATAAAATAAATCTATCTCATCACCATAAAAAATGTCATTATCTTTAAACTTACTCCTAATTGTTGGTAAACAATATCCAGTTGTCGACGATATTGGGATCTACTACTGCTGATTCCTCGACTATTGTGCCGCTACAAACGTTATTACGTGCTTTCCATCGTCATCTTTTTATGATTCCCTGGTAGGTAAGAAAAATACCATGTTGATCATAGGTTTCTTGCTCAGTTCGTTATAACAGGAACCAATTCAATAATAATTAGTTTGTTATAACCGAAAGTTCGTTATAACCTCATTTGTTATAAGCAAATTTATTAAAATGATGTTAAATAGAGTCATTTTCGGAACTATTACGTTCGTTCGTTATAACTGGGTGCGTTATAACCGGCTTACACTATTTTGAATTAATTTATTAATTTTTATATATAGATTTGGTTGAATTTTCCGATGAGGAAGGTTACGGAAAATACCTTGATTTACACGAATGTTACGAAAAGTACATTAATTTAAAAGGAATTGAGAAAGTTGATTACATAACTTATTTAGGAATGTTCGACCAACTTTACGATATCCCCAAAGAACGTAAAACTGGGGAATACAGAAAATATCTCATTATGTTAATTGAGTATTTATCATGGTTCGTTCAAAGAATCAAACCTTTACTTGACGTAGAAACAGTTACATTATCCGGAATTGATTCTGTTGAGCTAAATTGGGATTCGGGAACCGTTCCGGGTTGGCCTGTAAGTTACTTTTAACCCACATTTTAAGAAATGAATTTATTTTAAAATTTTTAGAAAGAAGCTGGTTCGGCGTTAACGAACGTCGGAGCTCATTTAGAACTTTCAGCCTTTTCAAGTTGGGAAGAATTAGCTTCTTTAGGTTTGGATCGTTTAAAATCGGCTTTAATGGCGTTGGGATTAAAATGCGGGGGGACTTTGGAAGAGCGCGCCCAAAGATTGTTTTCAACAAAAGGTTTGACCTCTTTAGATCCATCGCTTTTAGCGAAAAAAGCCGGGAAAGCGAGCAAAGATAAAGAAACGGCGAGACAACGTGAATTGGCATGTTTGGAATCGCAAATTTTTAAATTAGCGGAGTTGGTTTCGTTACAAAGGGCGGCGACGAAAGAAAATGTTCAACGTAAACAGGCTCGCACTGATGGTGAACGCGATGATAGTGAGAATGAGGAAAGCGAAGAGGAGGAGATTGAAGATGATGCTGATGATGTTCCTTATAACCCCAAAAATTTACCACTTGGTTGGGATGGAAAGGTAAAATTTAATTGAAATAACCTAACTTTTAAAAAATTAAATTAATTTTTAGCCAATTCCTTATTGGTTGTATAAATTACACGGATTAAACATAAGTTATAACTGCGAAATTTGTGGGAATTACATTTATAAGGGTCCGAAAGCGTTTCAACGACATTTCGCCGAATGGAGACACGCGCATGGCATGAGATGTCTTGGAATACCAAATACGGCTCATTTCGCTAATGTTACTCAAATAGAGGACGCTTTAGCACGTAATTAGCTTTATTTTTTATTAATTAATTAATTTTTATTGAAATAGTTGTTTTTGTGTAGTTTGGGAAAAATTGAAGGTGCAAAAACAAGGTGAGCGATGGCAACCAGAAACGGAGGAGGAATACGAAGATTCACAAGGAAATGTGGTGAATCGAAAAACGTATGAGGATCTTAAACGACAAGGATTGCTCTAAATTAAGGAATTTTGTGTGTTTAAATAATTACATTATTGATATCGAAAATTTAATTTTTTTCTTAACCTAAAAATAATGACAATTTTTTAAACTTTATGTCGATACCTACCAATAGACAACCTAAGCCCTTTATAACTTCATTAGAACACCATGTGATGGAGTTAATCTTCCAATGAGGTTAATAGACTGCCGAAGTCTGACGTCATTGAGATGGGCGGAGCTTATAGCGAATCCAAACATCTTCGTTGCTAACGATAAATGTCAATTATAGCGTGAAAGAATGTTCGGTAAGGTTAGTTTTGTTTACAAACATTAATTATACCATGAAGAATTCTTTGGCAATTTGTAATGGCAATTATAGCGTGAAGTTTTCTTTTGTAATGTCAATTATAGCGTGAAGGAATGTGAGGTAAGGTTAGTTTTGTTTACAAACATTAATTATACCTTGAAGTTTTCTTTGGCAATTAGTAATGGCAATTATAGCGTGAAGGAATGTGAGGTAAGGTTAGTTTTGTTTACAAACATTAATTATACCTTGAAGTTTTCTTTGGCAATTATTATAGTGTTAAAATAAACTAATTGTGAGTGATGACATTTCAAATGACATTTTTTGGCGATTTATCGTATAGCAACTGTGGTTAGCAACGAAATTGTTTGGAGTATAAGCTCCGTCCATCTCTGTGACGTCAGACTTCGGCAGTCTATTAACCTCATCGGAAGATTAACTCCATCACATGGACCATGAACCATGTGACATGGTGTTCTAATGAAGTTATAAAGGGCAAGGATTAAATAAATGGTATAATTCAAGAATCATCATGTCGCTACAAGAATACATACAGTATAAAATTATAGTGAAATTTCATAAGGGTACAACTTTTAATATGTTTACAATCGTTTCTCAATATTAATCAAATGTTTTTGGAAATTGATATACAAAATAAGTGTTAACTTTACATGTCATTTTTATCCAGAGTTGAAGTTAATATAAAGTGGTTATTGCGGAGTAGCAAGTATTACGACATAATCTAACGATGGACGAAAAGTATTCTATTAAATTAACTAATTAAATAATAAAAAAAGAAAAATACATAACTTTCATAATCAGAGTGTTTAATTAGAAAAAGCAGTATATTTGAGAGAAATTACTTCGTTTCAATCTCTAGCTGCCACTGCTTCGTAATTCGTGACGTCTTTTCCTTCAAAACGCGTCCTGCTATCTCTGGCCACCCTGGTACAATACACTTTACAGCCTTTGATTACCATAACCAGAAACCTCTCTTTTTAAGCTTGAAAGGTTTCAAACTTGAATATGAGATGGCGCTAAATATAAAAGATTTCTTCTCTTCCTATTTATTTTATCATTTGAGTTGATTTAAAATCAATATGTGGTTCGGTATTGTTGGGAGTTAGCTTTATTAAAGAGTAGATACTTTATTTATTTTATATTAAGGTTTAATTTAACAGTTTTTAAGAATCGTTTTTTTCTTTTTATAATTTAAATAAATAAAAAGCTTTAAATTTTTTTATAAATATAGTTCGTTGTCTTTTAACAAGACAAAATCCGTTTAAATTAAATTATTCATTCCGAACAGTATCAAGGAAAGGATTACAAGCTATTTATCCGTAATATAGGCAAAGAACGTCGATTTAATTCCATTACAGAAGCCCTTAAAGTCTTTCAGATTACTAAGGTCTCTTGAAATTCTATCAGTAACAGTCAAAACTTTGCTAGTTAAAGTATGTTCATCAACTCTTTAAACGTTTCTCATCGACAAAAATGGTAACGTAGATTTAATTTTCATTTAAACCATTGATTTATTTATATTTTTGAAGGAATTATTATTTTTAATTAAATTTGGTTACATCGTAGTAGTTTCATCTTTTATTTTAATGATATGGATATCTTATATCGAAGGAATGGAAATCAACGGTGCCACTTATCCACCTTGTTATTTTAACCCGTTGTGTAGCTGCTCAAAATCGATTCCAGATTTGGGAATTGTTCATTGCAAAAATGTTCATATGCCTCGAATCCCGCAAGCTGTTAATAAATCTAAAGTTTTTATGTTAAATTTAGAAAATAACGGATTAAGGCATATCGAGCCTTATTTTTTACAAGCAACAGGTTTTAATTAATTAATATAAATTAATTTGGTCATATTAAAGTAAATTTTTTAGGTTTATACAAATTATCGATTCGCGAAAATCCTCTTTATATAATAACGGATGAGGCGTTCTTAGGTTTAGAAAGATCGTTGTGGGAATTGGATTTAAGTTACGACGAATTAACAACAGTACCGAATAAAGCGATTCGTTACCTACAAAAACTGCGTCATCTCGATTTAACAGGAAACGAAATTATTGAAATCGTTGCAGATGATTGGAGAGGACTTGAACACTCCTTGGAAGTTTTAATATTAGCAGATAATGATATAAATTATCTTCCAGCGGATGCCTTTTCTGGATTGCCACTTTTAGACACAATCGATTTAACCGGAAATAATTTAAGAGAAATTGACGCGAACGTTTTTCGAGATGGGATGGGGAAGTTATCGAAAGTGTTATTGGGCGATAATCAATTAACATCGATTCCTTATCAAGCGGTGCAAACGTTAAAACATTTAAAGTATTTAGATTTAAGTTTTAATCGAATAAATAAGATGCAACCGCCAATCGATCCGCTTTCATCTTTAACAACACAAACGTTTAATTATAATTTAAATTTAGACGTTTTGGATTTAGATTATAACCAAATCCCGGTTATTGAAAGTAACGGGTTTCAATATTTTGAAGTGGTCAATAAAACTTACTTAGATGGAAATCCGATTGATAATTTAGAAGAAAACGCGTTTTTAAAAGCAAAAATTCGTGAATTATACATAAGAGGATGCGGATTAGATGTAATTTCGCCTTTAGCATTTTCCGGCTTAGAAAATTCTTTGCAAATTTTAGATTTATCCGGGAATAACATCACCGAATTTGATGGTAATCAATTTCAAAAGTTCGTTTCGATTAAATCATTAATTTTGAGAGATAATCTAATCAATGAGATTAAAATAGAAGAATTTGACGGGCAAGAAGATTCATTATTAGAATTCGATTTTAGCGGTTCATCAAACGGAAAAATTTCAATCTCAAATTTAAGCAATTTCAAAAGACTTCGTAGCGCATCGTTAACGAACACGAAAGAAAAAGATTTAACAAGCGAATTATTCAAGAATTTCGGCAGAGATGTTTTCGAATTAAACATCAATTTAGCCGATTTAAAATCGATCAAAAATAACGCTTTCCAACATTTACGCGGATTGAGGAAATTAGATTTATCCGAAAATGCGATTACAACAATCGAGCAGAATGGTTTTGAAGATGTTTCTTATTCATTAATTTACGTAAATTTCGCTCACGGTTTTTCGAAATCATTAAGTGAAATTCCGAAAGCTTTTAAAATATTAATTAACATCGAAGATTTAAATTTGAGTAATAATAAATTAAAAATAATCCCAGAAACGGCTTTTTATTCAATGAAGAAACTAAAAAGGCTTGAATTGCAAGATAATGTTATTGAAAACGTTTTAAAGGGAACGTTTCAAGGCGATATTCACACTAATTTAGAAATCATTTATTTATCGTTTAATTCGATTAAAACGATTCAACAACATAGTTTTGTTGAATTAGGCGAATTAAAAGAATTACATTTGGATGATAATAAAATTGATAATATTGAAAGAAGAGCTTTTATGAATTTGAAAAATTTAGCTTTATTAAGTTTAAAAGGAAATAAGATTTCAACAATTAGTTACGAAGCTTTCCAAAATTTACCAGAATTAGAAGATTTAGATTTATCTTATAACTCAATTAAACGCTTTGAATTTTCAATGTTTGATCAAGTCGGAACTTTATCGATGTTTAAAGTCAACGCAAGCCATAATTTCATCGAGGAATTAAATTTTAATATGAGCTTTTCGTTTAGTTACGAAAGTGGTAAGTACAATTTTTTTTTGTTACATTTTGAGTCAATCGCACAAAAAATTATATTACGATAAGTTATAAAGAAAATTAATTTTGTGGTTTCAAAAAAGCTTGTGCTTATTGTTCAGGTTCTTTGGGGTTCCACTCCAACATCAAAATTTTGGATTTATCTTTTAATAACATCACGACCATCTCTAAACAATATTTTCAACCGGTTGTGTTGTCTTTAACGCATTTATACTTGGGACATAATTATATTAATGTGGCTAAAAAGGAAATTTTTGGTAATATGCCACATTTGGAATTGTTAAATTTGAGTCATAATAATTTATCGGAGATTGATTTTGATACTTTTCAAAACACTAAGAAAATTCAGGTAAGGAAATATTTTTTTAATAAATAATTATTTAGTAAAATTAGATAGTGTAAAACACTTTGGAAAGCTACACGTATACATGTTTCACAAATTTCTGAAAAATAATATACCAAACAGCAATAAGTTCATCAAAGTTTCTTATTTTCGTATTTTTCTTGAGACTGACACATCTAAGAGCAAAAGTGCAAGAGAGAAATATTGTTAAGAATAAAATTTGCTACAACTTTCGTTTGGAATGTTTTTTTGTGATATGCTTAGATTCTCCGATGTTACTTACCATCAACAAATTCATTAAATTTTCGTGTTTTTCTCGATATTGATGAATCTAAAAGCAACACAATAATCAAATAACTTGGGAACGAACCACAGTCAGAAGAAAAAGTCAATTCATCAAATCACTGAAAAAGCACTGGATTACAATAACCCAGCATATCTTTGTTTCATAGACCTCGAAAAGGCATTGAAACTCCTCATTGCAAAAAACATAGCCCGAAAGAAATATGGTGGCTGCGTCTTGGTACTCCAAAAATAGTGATCTACATCGAGAATCGGAAGTGGAATAATGAAATTATTACAAGTTCTGCTAGAAGACATGTTGAACATTGAAGACATGAAATCTTTTTGAATTGTTTTAATAAAGTGTTGATTATAGTTATGTGATGACTGATTAGAAATTATCTTGTAGTAGTAATTTAAGATAAAAATATAACAATTGTTGTTTACAGGTGTTATCAGTTTCTTATAACAACTTAATCGAAATATCAAACGATTTATTTAAATCAATGGAGAATTTGCGCCTGGTCGATTTCTCACATAATAAATTAAAAGGCGTTCCGGATAATTTATTCAAAGAATCCGGTTTAGAACGACTGGATTTTTCACATAATTTGTTAAACAGGCTCCATTTATCGAGTATGAACGTTTTGGCAGCTTCGACACTTTGCGAACTTGATTTATCATACAACAACATCGCTTCCGTTTCACACGCAGAAATTTTTACGAAATTTAAGGTCTAAATCTTCATAATAATAATTTTTATTTATATAGTAGTAACTTTTTTTAAATTTCAGACTCTAAACTTTTTAGATTTATCTCATAATCGTCTCGTTCAAATCGACGATGCCGTTTTTAGTACACTCCCAAAATTATCAACACTCGATTTAAGTCATAACACACAAATTGTCTTGGAAACTGGAAGAACTTTTGAAGGAATCGAGGATACGTTGCTCCATTTAAATTTAAACAATGTTTCGTTAACTTCAGTTCCTGATTTGTCTTTGCCCAATTTGCTTTCGTTGTCTTTAGGTAAAAATATGTTACCTGTAATTCCCCCGGAAATGGCTTCAAATTTATCGTCGCTGCTTAATTTGGATTTAAACGGGAATGATCTAACTTCAATTCCAGTTGTGACACATTCTTTACCGGAGTTACGAGAATTGTCTTTAGCCTCAAATCCGATTACAACTTTAACTAATAATAGTTTATTGGGCGTGGCGGATCAATTGCAGCATTTGGATATAACGGGATTTGAATTGAATTCGTTAGAAACGGGGGTTTTAAATAAATTGTTTGCGTTAAGGACGTTAAAGATTGGAGTTTATGATTCGATTAAAAATTATAACATTCCTAGATTATTACAATCGAGTAATGGATTAAAGAAGTTGGAGATTTTCGTTGAAAAAGAAGTCAACAATTTCGTGGGGATGATCAAAGGGATTTATCCGGAAAAATTAAAGAGTATCACATTGATTGGATTAGGTGTTACCAGCATTGATGATGATATATTAGACGTAAAAAAATTAATTTTATAAAAATTATTGTTTAAACTAATATGTTTTAGGGAGTCAAAAATCCTCAAGTTCATTTTGGGCTCAAAAACACCAGCGTCGATCATATTCCCGAAGACACGTTCAATTTCATCCCCATAATTCGCAACATATCTTTAACTTTAAAAGATAATTTAAAATTAAAAAGCGTTCCTTCGCCATTTTCAACGGACAGACCTGGGGATTCAAATAAACCATTTTTAATCGATTTGGACCTTTCAGGATCGTATATTTGCGACTGCTCTTTGGGGTTTGATGAATGTAATAAGAAAAATTGGTTGAAAACTGATGAATAATTTGTTTTAGTTGGATCGAAACGTGGGATCGAAAACGTCGTCAATATCTCTGCGAAAGTAACAATAACGAAAAAGATCCATCTTGTATGCATGTTCATGACAATATAAGGAGTTCTTTGTGTACGAATAAGAAGAATTCCAGTTTGATAGAAGTGTTGAAAACGGAACTTGAATGTGGTTGGAGTAAATCGAACACTGCTCAAGCTGTATTTATATATCTTGCTGTATCGATTGTTATTACACAAATTATTTAATATGAAAAAATAAGAAGTTGTTAGGTACAATACAATAATTTATTAATTTTTTTAAGGTCATTTCTTGTTATATTTGGTTAACACATATCGCTTACATACCTCCCTGAGCAAGCTAACAGACACACTTATGTACATATTTTACAAAATTAAAGCTTATTTAATCTAATCATTACATTCGGAACTAGAAATAAGTAAGAAAAACGAAGTCAAATAAAAATAAGTCGAAAAAAATTGTAATTTAACATTAAAATGTTATTATATATGTAACAACAGCTTTATATAACATAATTCCTTCTATTTAAGTGGTTTTATTTAAAAAAAAATTAAATTAAAATTATTAAAAAAATACTTTTTAATGGAAGAAGATTTTGAAAATGAGTATATAAGAAATAAATATATTTAAAAGACCCGATTTTTAAATAATGCAAATGTATTTGATTTTGAACCAAAAACTTCGTTATAAAATCAGATTTTGATATAATTTGCGCTAATTTAGTATTGTGGAAGCAATTCCTGATCTGATAATAGAAAACGAATGATAAATTTCAGTTAAATAATATGTAATATAATCAAAAAAATTTGTTATTATCTGGTAAAATTTGAAACGCAGAAAATCGGACCTAAATCTAACTACATTTCTAAATAATTAAAAAAAAATCTCCTATAATTTTTTGCTTTCCTCCTAATCAATAATTAACTCTTTAACGTCGAAATTTATCTTCATATATCCAGATTTTTTATGCTGAACGGTGTGATAAATCACATTTTCAAAAAGAAAAAACATTAAAGAGTTAATTTATATAAAACAACTATTATAAATAGTCTTTGGCGTTTAACTTTTTATTTAATTTTAATCGAATCAAAAAAAATTTTTTAACCTCAATTACTTTCCCGACTATTTTCACTACTCCCCGGTAAATTTTCACCACCACCCCCGGAATTTCCCCCGCCGTTAGAACTTCCACTTCCGGTCGATGTTTCAACTGGAATCAATCCCTCCTTCATCCGTTTCTTCTGTTTCATCCTACGATTTTGAAACCAAATCTTCACTTGGGTCTCGTTCAATTGTAAAGCAGACGCGATTTCAATTCTACGAGCTCTCGTTAAATACTTATTAAAATGGAACTCTTTCTCCAATTCGGTGAGTTGCTTGTTGGTAAAATTCGTTCTACCCGTGTTCAAACAGCTCAATCCTAACATTCCCGCGTTCAAATTCGGATTTGGGCCAATACAAGAACCCCGATTTGCCGGATTTGTTGTGTCTAAACCGACGACGGATGCTGGATAATCGGGAATTTGCTGTGGCATTTTCGGAGCTGAAAAAAGAAAAGATATAAATAGATACAATTTTACGAAAATCAAGTTAAGTAAAATGAATGAAAGGGAAGCGGGAAGATAGATCGTTTCCTCTTATTAGCAAGCGTTGAGTTTAATTTAACAAACTCATTCGTCTTATTCTTGAAGAAAATGTTATTTTAATTTCTTTTTCACAACTTGTATAAATTAGTTAATAATATAACTTAATTTTTCACTTAAAATTTAAGTTTAAAAATTATGATCGTTAGAATTAATAAAATTATAAGATTAGGTAATTGTTTTCATTTCATGTCTTGTCAGAGACTTGATTTAGTACCTGGCGTGTTAAAATCCCTCAAAGAAAGGGATTACCTCCAATTATTTCATTGTGTCATACCGCCGGCGCTCATCAATCCTCAAAATAATCCCTTAGATTACTCGAAACGAAAACCGAAAACGATATTCGTGTAATATTTACTTAATGTGACGTAAAAAAAGTATAAAACTAGTTATCTCAATCGATTTAATCTATAATTTAAACTATTTGGAACAATTTAATATTATTTAGTTTATGAATATTCTACTTTTCTTTTAATTAAAATATACACGTCTTTCAACCCGGATGATTCTAGTTCTAGGTCTAGTGTTAGTTCTAGTTTTACATTAGCACTATCACTAGAACTAATACGTGCGTCTGAAGACGTATACGATATATTTTTGTATATTGAGTCTTAAGTAAAAAGTAAAAAAAAAAGTATTATTTCTATGTAGTGTCTATGTGATTAAGCTTGCGAAATAAATTATTCATTAGTATTCCAAAGGGTTGATTGCCATCTACGCACGCCGGAAACACTCGGAATGTCAGTTAATACGTCACTCTGTAGATAAAAATCGATTTAATAGAAAAAAGGTGCAAAAAATTACACACAGCGGTGGATTTCTTCGAATAAAGATAAATTTTGCCTTCTCTAATAATTAAAGCATCCTAATAAAACCGTGGTAATCAATCTAACCCGTCAACTTAACGTGACGATGACCCGGTTCGTTTTATTCTTTCTCGTCTCCTCGCAATTTAATATAATAAGGGTGAGAATAGTTTCACTTTGGGAAAATCCCCGTTGATGTCAAGTTATATAAAGCAATATCGAGTAATGTCCAGTTTGTGCTTGACCAGCTGTTCAATCTAAACGAAATCAACCCCCTTTTGATCCTTTTTGTACTAATATAGTAAAGGGGTTAAAATTGTATCATCACAAATCTTTGTAATTTTTAAATTTATAAAACTGATTTTTATGCAGAAAAATTCTATTATTATCTATATTGAATATCAGATTATCTCAACCTAAATAAAAATAGAATTAGATCTAATTCTTACATACCCCAACGACAATTAAGTTGTCCAACATTATATATGTGTGATTTCTTTCAAATTCAGATCTTATACAAATTTAGTATCTAGATTTATTTTTCCCCTAGAACTAGATCGAACAGAAGCAGACGTTTCAGTCATCGGTTTTTTTGACACGCTCATTAAGTTGTTTAACGAAAAAATTAAGATGCATTAAGAAACACTCTACTCATACTGTAAGCTGAATTGATGTCTCACAATGCCGACGATGGCTCCTATAATTTTGTTCTGAAAGCTAGCTGTAAGATAGCAATATTTTGTAGAGATAGTTGAGGTTTGCTGATGGTGACATAAGGGTAATTTTCTCTACTGTTGGAATGTCTCTTCTGGATCTCCTCCGCTATCTTGTATTCCATCCATCCGCATATTTCGGCTGTATACATTACTACACTCCCCATCAGTCCATCAAACATTATTTTCCGTCTCCCGCCCTAGGAAAATTTTATAATCTTTGTCTTTTCAACATGCACCTCCAAATTCTTCCCCTTAAAGTATGTCTCCATCGATCTAATCATCCCTTTCAACTCTTTAGCCTCCATTGCCACCACCACCAGATCATCTGCATATGTTCCCCGTTCTAACACCTCTTTAATGTCTTATCCAAATCTTCTATATACATTGCAAATAAACTCGGGCTTAATGAACATCCCTGTCTCAAATATCTTTGCATAATAAATAGTGTTCTTGTATATGCAAGCAGTTTTTAAAGCATTTCTCTTCTAATATGATTTGAGAGAGCTGATTTTATTTCGATGAATTTCCGTTTCGTTATGGAGTTGTTGTCTTGTTACCCAACTCTTTGATTATCTATGTCCCGAATTATTTGTAATCTGATATGTGTTTTATTAAAAATTTTCATTAATTTATTTAATTATTTTCATTAAATTCCCTATTATGGATAAAAAGAAGAGGTGCTCTGGTTTTCCAAAGTCCGTCATCCATAATTACCGGTGTAGCGTGTAGTTAACACCGAGCTGTCACAACAGATTAATGAATGCGTCCCATGGAGCCTACGAAATTTTCTCATCATCTCTCTCTCTTCCTCTTCGTTAGCTCTCGATCCCCCTTATTAGTTATATCACTCGTTTTCTCTTCGTTTCGAGTCTCGAATCGGACACATCGCGTTGCCTTTCCGAGCCCCCATTAATATTTTATTTCGCCCCGTTTCGAAGTTTTTAATTAATGAAAGCAAATACACCTGGAGGACAGGTTGACAGAATTTTTTTTCTCCACTACCCACTCATTTTCTATCTCTATCTCACTCAATACCAAGTTATCAAGTTATCGAGCTTAATTAGGTTTCGGTTTTTCTCGATAACTCTTCTTGGTTTTAATGAATAAAAAAAAACGAAAATAAGAAAATTAGAAAAAAGAATTGGTTTTCGTGTTAAAATAAAGTGCGTGATCTTAACTTGGTGTATTTTAGTTCTTGCGTGCTTGACCACTTTCCTACTTGATAGGATGCCCTCGAAAAGTTTTCATTTAATGACGTGTCACATAACACAGGATTTAAATAAAAATATTTCTTATAATTAGTTGATCAAATTACATTGAATAAATAATTGTTAACGTTACTTTATCGTTTTATCAATCTATGTGACACGATGCAAGTCATAAAGGCTTGAAATGTCACGGTCTTTTGTCGTGCTAGAAACACGTATGCAATAAATGTTAATGAGTTTGAGAGCTTTTTAAGTACGGAATAGATAAAGATCTAACTTTTAATTCTTTTCATAAAATAATTTATTAATTTTTTTTAAGATAAATTCTATTTTTGTTTATTTTATGTTAGTAGTATCTAAAATAGTTTTACTCGCAATGTTATATCTAAATAAAAATAACGAGATAGTAATAATAAAAAAAATAACAGGGAGTTAGTCAGGTATATGACTATCTAATCTTCACGTACTGGCTGTACTCAGGGATGTCACAGATATCCAACGTAATTGACTTGTAATTGTTGTGTAATGAGCTTTCGATATTGATGCTAACACTTTTTGTAGTGCTCCCAAAACAAGGATACTTCATAAATAACCTAATTATTTAAGCAATTATTTTTTTATGTAATTTATTTAAAATTTTCGATTCTTATTTATTGACAATGAAAACATGTTTCCGTTTCGTGTAACACAACAGAAACGTTATCGTTTGGCGTCGGTTTTACATTATTTGTACAGGGGCGGTCGCGGTTATCAAGTCACACATCATACATAATCAACAACGAGAAACGTGTGTATATACACGATAAGTCCCCAAACAAATTTGACGGATCTCAAAGAAGAAGAAGAGGAAGCAACCCCGGAAAAGGTGTCTTCGACGCAACCATAAACTTCCCGGGCAGTTGATGTTTATTTAGAAAAAGAACGATTGAAGAGAAAAAACGACAACAACCAGTAGCCAAAGACGTGATCGTATTTTTAATGCCCAACTAATCCCCTTTTTTTCGGTAGTACATCTATCTTATCGGTGACGATCCGTTTTCGGGACATTAATCCGACCACTAACTGATACAACCTAAACGATAAGTTCTATATTTTGTCAATGTTTGATATCGTAAAATCAAAAAATTGCTAATCCCTTCTTAAAGTGTATCGCTGATGAGATAGACGTTTATTTAAAAAAGAAAAAAATTAAATAAAGCAATAATAAAGTGTGAATGTATAATTATCTCTTGGTTTTAAAGATCTGATTGGATTAAAAAAAATCCACTCGAAATATTTAATATCGTCTAAGATCTAAATTCTCTTATTTATTAACGGTAAACAAGATCGTATTTCTGGAAATTTTGATACCAATCGAATCGAATCGAACCACTCCAGGTATATCAAGAGAGTTGATGATGAGAGTTTTGCCTGTCATTGGCGTCAATTTTTACACCGATCCAAATCGGTGTTAATCTCTGTTAATCCGTTATCGCAATTTTTTGTGTTATTTATTTATTTATTTTTTTTTATTAATCCACATTTCATTATAAACCCGGACGTGCAAAGATATTGTATCCTACTCAAGATTAAATAGTTAATTAATTGTGAGATTTTTATGAAAAATCATTATTTTTGGGGAAAAGGTAAAAATGAGGTTGAAAAAAAACACACAGTAATGCCAAGTAATCGTTGAGAAAAACTTTGTCACGTAAAATGACGACGACGAACTCGTATAGCGTGCATTAATAAGCCGCCCTCGCGAGTTCGCGAAGCTTTTAGGGGGAACTTTTTTCGGTATCGCTTCGCGTGGATCTTTTTTATAAAACTCAAAGCGAAGTCGACTTTCGGATCGAGACTCTTCCAAAGTGCCCCTATGGTTTTTTTTTTAAATCTTCAGTCATTCCATTAAATAAATTATATTTTGGTTATATTTTTGAGTCAAATTGACCCAACTAAGTTTTTTCAGCTTAAACGTTATTCATATACATATATGTCATCGCTAAAACGTATAATCCGTTATCACATATAACTTTGCGGGTGAAATCTGAAACTAGATGTAATTACCACCTACAATGATTCCTAAACTGTTTATCAAGAACATAGGTGTAGCTAATTTGGGAGTATTTACCAATAAACTCTGGCAATTCATGCAACGCAAGTCAGTTTAGTTCAGTTATAATAAAATGTTGTTTCTAAGTTCATTTTGGAAGAATGTAATGGGCGAAAGTAACTTAAACAGCAACAATACAATCAAATATTAATAAGAATCTACCTATTCGGATTTAATGAACGAAACTTTTGATGAAATTAGAAACATCTTGGATATGTTTTATGGATCAATAAGGAATATTTTATGTATTAGACACTTTATTCCACCTTCTTTCATTTTTGAATTTATACTTTTTGATTTTAGATCGGATAAGTTTTTAAAATAAATCGATGGAATACAATCGGTTACTAGAAATGTTTTATGGATCAATAAGGAATATTTTATATACTAAACATTTTATTCCATCTCCTATCATTTTTGAATCACATTGTTTTTAACTTTTGAAAATGACAAATTTAGAGACACTTTTTGATTTTAGAGTGGCTAAGTTTTCAAAATAAATCGATCAAATAAAACAGGTTATTAGAATAGTTTCATGGATCAATAAGGAATATTTTATGTACCAGACATTTTATTCCATCTCTTTTCAGAGTACAAGTTCAAGTACCAGAGGAGTTTCCAAGAACAAACAAGCCAGGAATTTCTAAGTATTGGTCCAGGGCAATTTTTTACCGGCTGCAATTGAACACTGCAGATATTAGACGATATTTGTAGTAAAAATATTTTGCAAGGTTACATGATTGAAACTCACCGTATGACGATATCGTTACAGTGCAAAATGTAAAATGAAAGAGTACGAAGAAATAAGAAAAAAAAAATAAATAACACGTACTAACCCCTTTACGTTACGCATGAAATGATTCGTGTCGTGCAATCCACATTATTATAACCGCAGGCGTTGTGACGTTGACGCTTTTAATCTCATTTCGCGATAAATATTAATATAAAAGAGAAAAAAAATTTTTTTTGTTTTAAATTTAAAAGAAGCGAACTTCTTTTTGCAGTTATAACCAGAACATTCGTTTCTCTTTGCGGTTTAAATTAAATTTTTATTTTTTTTAGTACAGAAATGAAATCGGATATCCTTAAAATTGACTCATATTGCGTAAAATAAATACTAAAAGCGAAAATTATGTCAACACAATATCCCCTAACGTTTTTAAACCCCTCGAAAATACTTTTAAAGGAGCTGCATCAGCTGTATTTATTATTTATTATTTACACATCTCTTAAAATTCTTATTGTAATACCTCAATTTCTAAAATATTTTTTTGACTTGACTTAATTTATTGTTGGATACATACGTATTATGTTTTTTTTTGAAAGGTGCTGAGATAACAAGACGGGAAAAAGTTAAAAGATTCGAAAGGGAAAAGAAAGAGACGTTTCTTTGGTTCACTTTGCAAGTTGTCATCTGATATACCACGAATACGACCACAAATTTTATACCTGGCCCGTTTCGTCGGTGAACCGTCAATAATTTCTTCGAGATGAACACGACTTTCCCATTAAAAACAATAATATTTGTAGATATCTTAAAAAAAAGAAATTAATTGACGAAGATGACTCGATAAAAATAAATTGGGTTTTAAAAAATTTCTAATATTATCCTAGAAAAGAGAGCTTTCATTTTAAAATTTCTATTCCATTCGAATTCGAATTCGAATAATAATAACTAAAAATGTAAACGTTCCATATAAACAATCTCCGTTAAGCTCAATTTATTTTTAATTAATTGCAGTTTTTAATTTTATTTATTTATTTTTACTGTTAACCAAAGATTAAAATGCGAAACGGTAACTCTTTTTCTTCACGGTTTTTTTCGTTGTTTATGAGAGCATAACTGCATCATTTAGAATTTTTAAAGTCCCGTCGCTTTGATGTTAAATAAATTTATTATATTTTTAAATTAAGCCATTTAAAATAGTTGATTCTTTATAACCCGTTTAGTAAAATCGATTACCTGCCTCACCACCACCGTATGGCGGTCAGTGGTTGATCGAAAAGATTGATACCACACATCACGAACGTTATTTTACTGCTGACCCTTCCAACAAAACTGAACCATATCAAACTCACGTTAAATAACTTTTTTCACATTACACCAGAAATTTGATATCAGCCAATTTCTAAGAAATCGAACAAAAAAGGATATAAAACAAAGAATGTAATTCAGTAATTTCGATTAACTTCTTAGTATTTTTGGTAAATTTGAAAATACCGAGATGAAATAATTTAGTTATTTTATCTAAATCCTAATACGAGTCATCAGTATTATCGAAAAAAAAATGTGTGATCAAAAATGGATGAGACTTCTCCGGTTTCCAAGAATTTTCGATTAAGGTCTTATAACAAATCATCATTAAAGTTAAATTGTGTTTTTTTAGGTTTAATTTTAAATCATAATCTAAAAAAATTAAATCCGGAAAATATTTAGACAGACAAATCAATAAAAAATAAAAATTGATGATATATTGGCCAGTAAAAGTAAAATTAAGAAAAAAAAAATGTTTTGAAAGAAATTTAAAAGAAATTAATTTGATGATATATACCATCTTAAAGAAGATCCTTCCAGCTTTCATTTGGTATAAAAGTGAATTTTTTATCTTAATATTTACGCTCAGTACGATTATTTTAAAATTGATACATTTTTCAATTAACCAAAATTACAACGTTCTTTAAAAAAATTATTTTGAACGAAATTTAAAAGAAATAGATATGGTGTTATATACCATTTTAAAGAAGATCCTCTCAGCTTTTATTTGATATAAAACTCAAGCTTCTATTTTCAAATCTAAGCTCACCAGAATTTTTTTAAATTAACAGAATTTTTTCAATTAATTTAGTTTATAACCAAAACTACAACGCTCTCAACAAAATATATCTTGAAAGAGATTTTAAAAAACTAGTTATGGTGTTATATACCATTTTAAAGAAGATCCTTCCAGCTTTCTTTTGGTATAGAAGTGAAGTTTTTATCTTCAAATCTAAGAACAGAGCGGTTTTTTAAAATTAACAAACTTTTTCACTTAATTTAGGTTATAATCAAAATTACAACATTATCAAAAAAGATTGTTTTGAAGGAAATTTTAAAGAATGTCATATAGTGTTATATACCATTTTAAAGAAGATCCTTTCAGCTTTCATTTGGTATAAAGGTCTTTTTATCATCATATCTAAGCCCAGCACGATTCTTTAAAGTTATCAGGTTTTTCATCTAATATGGATTTAATTAACACTAAAACATTCACAACAAAATTGTTTTTGAGAAACCTTAAAAGAAATTCATATGGTATTATGTACAATTTTAAAGAAAAGTCTTTTAGCTTTAATTTGATATAAAAGTTGTTTTTTTATCTCCATATTTAAGCTCATCGCGATTCTATAAAATTGACAGATTTTGACAATTTACATTTTTAATTTATGTAACTTCATAATTTTGATACTGATTAAAGGCAACCAACGACTGAAAGATTCAGCACCAGAAGTGTCAAAAATAACAAAAGCAAAATTGAGTGGTCTTAAAAGTAAAAGATATTGAGAGCAACACGAAATCAGTAAAAGCAAAAGGCATTGGAAGTAATTGTGAGTCATTGCTAGCTATTGACAGAAATGCTGGGAGCTATTTTGAGTCAATGAGTGATATTGGAATGTTTTGAGAGCTATATTTGAGTTGGAAAAAGTTCAGATTTAAGCTTGTTTCTGAAGAACGTTGTAGCTATTCAATCGAAATGTCAAAAAGTTGCCATAAAAAAGTTCTTAAAGTATTATTGTTAGATAAAAAAAAATTTTTAATAAGACGCAAAAATCGTTAAAATCATGTTAAAACTGATCCGCCACAAAAGATTAAAAAGTAGGGGAAAATTTTATCCTATCCTCTTTAAACAAAAACTCTACATAATCATTTTTGTAGGGGAGAAAAATAAATATTTGATTTTAGGGATCAAAATAATTAAAAAGGTTAAATTTACCTTTTAAATAAATTGAATGAAATTTGAAAAACTTACTGCTTGGTTTTGGTACATTTCTTTTAACTTGCATCCATTTATAAGTTGGGATAACGGGTTGAGTCTGTTGTATGTTATTCATATTATGCGCAATATGTTGCTGATGTTGTCGAATCCTGTCATGATCTTGAACTACACCTCCCTCCTCTTTATACCGATGATGATGTTGGTATTCCATGCACGAAGAAGAAGCAGTCAATAAATGAAAACCATCACCATCAATCTGATGATGCTGATGATGACTTGGAACGTATTTATTTTCCAAATAACCACCACCTTGATGGTGATGAACATTTTGCACTTCCTGATGAAGGTGCTGGGATGTCTTCATCGGTTGATGATAACCATCGTTATAAACATTATTTTGATGGTGTTGAATTTGTTGGTAAGTGTTATAATCTAAATTGGTGTAACTCAATCCGGTTTCGGTGTTATTAATGATCGGATTCGTTTCTGGAACTTGATGAGAAGTTGTTGTTTGTTGGTAATTATAAATATCTTGGGGCGAAGGTGGAGTCTCAACATTTTCCGTTGTTGTTGACGAAAATACATATGGAGTTTCTTCGTAATGATAACCAGAGTACTGATTTAATTGGTTATGAACTGAGGTTGGCGATGTTTCATTCGTATAATAAAACGTGTTATCACTCGATGGATAATTAGTATGACCACCGTGTCCGTACATGTCCATCATCATCATTTTACTTTTAAGATAAATAATAATTCAAAAAAAATGATTTTAGAATTTTTTCAAAAAACTCACAAAAAAATCACTCACATTGCAAATTGTTTTGTTACACTAAAAGTGAGGACGCGTTCACATCAGAGAAACTTTCAGATCGCGACTACCGCGATGTTTTTTTGAACAGAACGTAGTCGTAGAGGTGCTGCGCAAGGACGTGGGGCGAAATATAGGCGTGGCCGTAGTCGCACGTGCCCGCGCGAACAGTTTCACCATCCAATCACTTTCCTCGACAACCAGATGCTGCGAAAAGGGATTGGTTTGGGACCCAGCCATCATTGTTCTCCCAACGTTTACTACCAAGTTACTTTTTACCTGCTGTTTTCTTTGTCACGTGGACATTTTAATTTTAAAGATCACGTTTAGAATTAAATTTAAAAGAATTTCCAACATTTTGAATTATTCTTGGAAAGAAGCTTTGAAAAAGGAAGTATGTGTTATATGTATATACAAAAAAATAAATTCATTGATGGATTGGAGGCAATAAATTTTATGGTTTCATTGTCAAATTAAAAGGTGATTATGAGATTTGTTTATAAAAGTAATATATATGGCACCTTTTATGTTCTTTCTTTAATATATGATGTGATAACATTAATTGTAATTTATTACCTTTTTATTTGTTGTTTTTATACAATAAAAATACAACAATTTTGCACGGATAACAACGTGTGGCTTTAGACGAGCAGATAGTTGCAATTTTAGCATTGCTTAAAGGCTGTAATGTTTTGGTTCAAGATTTATGTAGTTCTGAAAATTTCTGCATATACATATAATAAGGTGCAGAAAGGTTCAGAACTATTCGGAACTACATATCTCTTGAACCAGAACATATTGCATATTAGCAGAAATGTTCAGAACATTCTCTTGAACTGTTTTGGTTATTGCTTATTGTTTCTAGTTCAGTCACAGTGAGTTGTGTTTGTTGTAAGTAAACGAATAATGTTATAAATAATTATTTAGGTGTTATGAATCGAAATTGAGGTTTAAACTGCAAGGGGAAACAACGATGCTGCGTATGTCAGATAGATAACCATTCTAAAAAACAATGTATTCAAAGCAGAAGTAGGGGAAATTGAGGCAGAAAGATGTAACCTAAAGGATGTTGGAAAAGTCTTCATCTGGAAGAAAATGGTGACTTTGCTGGATAACTATACTGATAATTTTGTTCCTCCAGTAAATCTTGAATTGCGTATGAAGTTAATTATTAGGAAACTGAATAATTTTTGTTTATGCTTGAATTGACACCTTCATTTATGTCTCAGCCCAGCTTTCATTTGTTTTCTACTATCAAATATAAATATTGACAGTATGTTTGCGTATTGTTTTGATTTATGCTGTTCGAAAGTACACCAAAGCACTGTGAGTGTTAGAACTACATCAGGAGTGATGACCGAACAAACATGTATTGTTTGATTAGAAATGGCTTTCCTCATCAACGTGAAAAATATAACAAAATGAAATCTAATTACTGATTGACAATGCAAAACGATCTTTTATTGCTAATCGATTTTCTAAAGCTTCCAATACAACTCGATGTTTATGGCGGCTTAAATATACATTTAGGAAGATTTAATGCTGCAAGAGTAATAATCTTGAATGTTAATGGAGATGAAATTTCTGATCTAAACCGAATATTGTGACTATTTTTCGACAGGCTAACATCTGTTTTTGGTCTTTTTGGTTCTTTTTTGGCCGATATCTTCTATGGAAATGATTAAGTCAAAGGATGTTTTGAAGTACCTTTTTGGGACCATTTTAACTCATCTGTTGGTAGAACGGTTTGTAACAATTTTTTTAAGCGTCGAGCATTGCCTACTGAATTTGAATGAATTTTGGTATGGTCTTAAATTACAGGCTATCATTTGGAAATAACAAAGACTCGGGGTACAAGAAAATGAACTCAGCTTATTATGCCATCTTGAATCTAAAACAAATTTAGATGTAAATTCACTACTAAATATGTATTACGTTACTTCGCTTTTATTTCTTATAACATATTGGTATGAGGTGCTCCAACTGAATTGAATCGGATGTTTGTGGCACAGAAGTTCAAGATACCAAAAAGATTATGTGCAAGTTTCAATCAAATCCAAAGGAAAGGGCATCATATCTTATTTTGGAGTATTTCAGAGATTTTCAAATACGATACCCCGCCACCTTGGTGATCCCGCTCGCTTGACAGAAAACCGGAGACACCCGCAGCCAGCTTTTATCTCATTCGTATCAATAGAGCAGCCTAACAGTGCATCCCTAATTCTCTAAACTTTTGCTAAAGGGTTGCTTGCGACCGAGACTCTACAATTAATAGAGTGGAAGATTAGACTTAGAAGATTAGACTTAGATGTAACCTAAAGGATGTTGGAAAAGTCTTCATCTGGAAGAAAATTTGTAAGACATTTATTTATGTCTCACATCAGCTTTCATTTGTTTTCTACTATCAAATATAAATATTGTCAGTATGTTTGCTTATTGTTTTGATTTATGCTGTCCGAAAGTACACCAAAGCACTGTGAGTGTTAGAAGTGGCAGTTACACTACATCAGGAGTGATGATCGAACAAACATGTATTGCTTGATTAGAAATGGCTTTCCACATCAACGTGAAAAATATAACAAAATGAAATCTAATTACTGATTGACAATGCAAAATGATTTTTTATTGCTAATCGATTTTCTAAAGCTTCCAATACAACTCGATGTTTATGGCGGCTTAAATATACATTTAGGAAGATTTAATGCTGCAAGAGTAATAATCTTGAATGTTAATGGAGATGAAATTTCTGATCTAAACCGAATATTGTGACTATTTTTCGACAGGGTAACATCTCTTTTTGGTCTTTTTGCTTTTTTTTGGTCGATATCTTCTATGGAAATGATTAAGTCAAAGGATGTTTTGAGGTACCTTTTTGGGACCACTTTAACTCATCTGTTGGTAAAACGGTTTGTAACAATTTTTATAAGCGTCGAGCATTGCCTACTGAATTTGAATGAATTTTGGTATGGTCTTAAATTACAGGCTATCATTTGGAAATAACAAAGACTCGGGGTACAAGAAAATGAACTCAGCTTATTATGCCATCCTGAATCTAAAACAAATTTAGATGTAAATTCACTACTAAATATGTATTACGTTACTTCGCTTTTATTTCTTATAACATATTGGTATGAGGTGCTCCAACTGAATTGAATCGGATGTTTGTGGCACAGAAGTTCAAGATACCAAAAAGATTATGTGCAAGTTTCAATCAAATCCAAAGGAAAGGGCATCATATCTTATTTTGGAGTATTTCAGAGATTTTCAAATACGATACCCCGCCACCTTGGTGATCCCGCTCGCTTGACAGAAAACCGGAGACACCCGCAGCCAGCTTTTATCTCATTCGTATCAATAGAGCAGCCTAACAGTGCATCCCTAATTCTCTAAACTTTTGCTAAAGGGTTGCTTGCGACCGAGACTCTACAATTAATATATCAACCCTAAACTAATCATCATATTGCTGCAAAATTTTCATAAAATGTAAGAGCCAAATCATCTATTCTAGGCATTCTAAGGTTCATCTAGATCTAGAGAAAAAGACGTTACTATTGGAAACAAGTCTTCATCTTAAAAATTCTTTTTAGGTTAATGAAAATATTGTTTAAAAATTCTATTTGTTTGCTAAATAATGATGTGGTAAAAAAATTTTTTAAGGATTGTTTACTACGTTTTTTATGATATTAACAAATTGAAGGAGATTATAGAAAATTCAATTAAAATGACTCGAAAATGAATTGAGATTTTTGGTTATAGTTTTTGTGATGGAATTCGTGGATTTTTATGTTACAAGTCGCTTCGGGGTTACTCTAACTTTTTCTGAAACCCCATGGGAGATTCCTTTTTCGAGGTCTTGACAGATATACCTTGGACGAACAGAAACACGCGGGTAACACAAGTTTTTCCTTGTCATATGTCACCCCTTTATCACCAAGAAAAAGAATTTCTTCGAACTCTTAGATATGATTTTTGTGAAATTAACGCGTTTAATATTATTTTTTTTCGTGGCAAGATAAAAAATAAACTTTGTAACCTAATCTAAAATGTGAAAAGATGATGGTATCAAGTTTTAACTCTGTATAACGTTATCGTTTTTACCAAACACCCTCTCGAAACTCTGTTTTTATTATCAAATGTGTATGCGGCCGGACTGACGCGTTAATCCCAAAGACAAATATTGAACGTTCTGCCAAACTTCATTACTCGCCGCAGACAATAAAGGTATCAGAAAATGAAAAATTATCCAGGGGCCGATTTCAGTGATAAATATCAAAAAACGTATTACATAATCTTATGATTTTCAGTTACCTATATATTTTTATGGTTTATTAGGAATTTTTATGGGGCCTTTTATGATTTTTTTATCACACAATTATGATACTTTTAATAAACGTTTTTTATTACATATATCTTTTTTATTAAATTCAGTTTCGGAATTTCTTAAAACATTTTTGGTTACCTTCAAAAAAGAGTAGTTTTAACTTTTTCTTTTTTATTGTTGTTTGCTGCTGTTGTTGTATTTGATATTTCTTGACGAGAAGATACTGAAGAGCTGTCCGAGGATCGTGATACGTTCTTGTATTTTAAAAAGCTCGGTGTTTACAGTCGTCTCGGTCTCCCGTAGAGAAGAAATCTTTGAATACAACTGTCTGTTTACGGTCCGTTTAGAAAGAAGTTAAAAATTTCAAAAGAACTTTTATTTTTGTTTGTTTGAGAACTAGTTGTGGTATTTATCTTTGTTTATTATATGGTTATTATATTTTAAGATACGGTTCTTAGAAGATTATGAAAGGATTATTTTAAGTTATAACAAATTTTTAAATGTGTTTGATATAAAGTATCATTAATTATATCGTTTTAAAGAAGATGTTTTAAGTATTACTATTTGACATGTTTTATCTTGATTTTTGTAAGTTTTGCAATGACGGTTTTTAGTTTTCACCTAAATCATCAATCAAACTTTTTTATTTCACATCTTCAAAGGAACCGCTGCTTTTAACCTATTTGAGATTAATTTAATCCCCAATATTGTTCAAAATCGAAAATAAATTTATTGTTTCAAATTGAATAGATATTTTTGCTCTCCTATATTTTTTTCTTGCTTTTAGAGTGTGACGAAAGGCTTATAAATAATATATGAACGACGCGTTACACTTTCCAGTTCTTTCATTCGATTTCTTTTGGAAAACTGTTTAATTTTTTTTAATAAGGATAAATCTATAAAGACTTTTGTAAGTGTCAATGCGTTGGCTTTATCTCTTTTTCTACATTAACACGTCCGTTATTAATGAAGTAAGAATTCTTATACGTCCGATTAACATATCACCAAAGAAAAGTTCTTGACGTTAACAAGCTCTCGAAATCTTGAACGTTTTCTTTATCTTCCAATTGGAACTCATTAAAGAAATTTAAATTTAACCAGCAAGATTTTATTGAAACATTTCAAAATGAATCAAAATTAAGCTGTCGTCATCATCAAATTTGTTCTCCTTGTTTGTTTGTAAATCAAAGTCTTAATGTAAAGTAAACGACATGGGGTTCTATCACTTTCAACTGTTGCCGCCGTCGGGTGGTTGTAACCCGTTGACTGATTAGGTGTAATTAAATCCGCCTTTAACACAGTTGACTGATTAACCCATCAAAATCTCGATGCGAGAAGAGCGAAAAGTGAAACGCTGGTTAAACCTTTGTATATACAAGCGATTAACGATTTACGAACACGCCCCCGTACTTTAAACTCTACCGTATATAAATCAGAACATAAATCTCCACTTAACATACTCATCATCCCCTTTTATATTAAAATATACAATAAAACGCAAAAATTACGCTACAATGTAATTAAAGATATTAAAAAAAACATTTTTTTAATGCTGATAACAAGAAATAGCCAACCAAAATTAGTTTTGATAAGATTTCTTTTTAATTTTATTTTTCATTTTGAGTTATCTTAAAATAAAGATAAGAAGATAAGGAAATTATTGAATGTTTTTTTTGGTTAATTTTTTCGATTCTTTCACATTGTTGCTTTTGGAGAATTATTATTTGCTGGATTTATTAGGAAAAGGTAATACTTACTAATAATAACTATCTTTCATATCTGCATTGAGTAACATCTGTCATATTAATGTGTATAAATGAATTTGTACATACAGCGGCGAATAACGCACAAACACATGAAGGGGGGAACAAATACGAGTGTTAATTAACACAATTATTAGCGTCCTTTTTAAGTTATTTACTTAAAAAAGTGGTTGTAAATTAACGTTTGAAAATTGCAAAAAATTCAAAAAAATTCTTAAAATTTACAATTTGTACGACTGCTTCTACTTATTACCAACATACTTTTTCCTTAAATGTCTGGTGTGGTCTTCTTGGTGACAATCTCATTGGCCCTTTCTTTTTACCACCCATGCTTTCAATCATTCAAAGCAACGAAGCAACGTAAGGAGTCTTTCTAGTGAAGCTTGGAAAGCACTCTAAGAAAAGTTAGAGATGGAAAGTTCATTATATGCTTCATTGTATCATCCTAGAATTGTAGATTAGTCCATAACTCATTGGAAATACAAAATAATCAGTTTTTGTTATTAAGAAGTTTAAACGCGATTTCCACAATTATGTTCAGTCATTTTCAAAAAATCATAATAAATCAGCATTTCAATAAATCATTATGAAATTCTCAACATTTGTTATACAAATTATAAGCTTTCCAATGAACAAAACGGATTTTTAAAATACCTTTTAGTTTTCAAGATATTAATTTTTAAACGTAACACAACGTTTTCTCATTTTTCGGTATAAACAACAATTTTTCGCGCATTTACAAAAGATCATAATAAATCGGGTTTTCTATAAATTATTATGAAATTATCAGCACTTATAATGCAAATTATCAGCTTTTCAATGAAATAAACGGATTTTCAAAATATGTTTTAGTTTTTGAGATATTAATTATTAAACATAAGATATGTATATTATTTTTCGGGTTTAGCAACTATTTTCACTAATTTTCAGAAAATCCTAATATTTGCCCATTTTTCCCATAGCATCCATAAATTTATTCCCATCTTTACATTTAGAAGGTTGGTTTAAAATTTGGATATAATTTAGAATGATCTTAACCATTAAAGTTAACAATTTAAACCAAATATTTTAAAACGCAACTTTTACTCTAAAAACATAATTACTTTATCCTTAAAGAAAAACAAAAAAATAGATTTTTCCTTAAGAAAATTTACAGAAGAAGAACCGTTGACGTTGATACATCGCGTACACAACCCAGCGTGGTAATTTTTTAAATAGGTCCCCCTTTCAGCGATGACGACGACAAATTGGAGACGCAAGGAGGGTTTGCGAAAGAACCCGTCGAGGTGGTGCCGTTGCGTTAATTCGATTTAATTGATTAGCCACGCTCTTCGTGTTACCACCAAGAAACACCAACACCAACCTCACTCTCATTTTATTTTTAATATTATTCCGAGCACCTCGAAGGTGTGAATATTGATTACCTTCGTCTCAACTAATTGGATCTCTTTTGTTCGTACTATCCTTTTCCTTTCTTCTCAACTCAATACATGCTCTTTTGCACTTTTGTTATTTGATACTATAATAATCTGGAAAGGTCTACAATCGACTTTCTTAAATAATATTTTGTATAAAAAATAATTTAATATAATAATTTTTGATTTTAATAACGTGAATAAATCTAATTTCTTGGTTAGGTTGAGATAGAAGAGTATCTGGTGGATGGTGAAGGGATCTATAGGGGGTTATGGGGGTGAAAGGGGAGGTGACGGTCGACCAGAAGGAGAGAACGGGAGCAAGCTAATGGGTAGTGACATCCCGGTTGATGGATCGGTGGGAACCCCAGAGCAAACACATTGTATATACGTCCGTAGGACACCATCCAGATAGAATATTATTGTGTGTGTGTATGTTGGTTTGCTTCTGCTGGTATTGTTACTGTTACTTCTTAATCCCCCATTATATATTATTATTAAAAATAATAAATTTAGATCTAACACATTATTTAGGTAAAAGTAAAAAATTCTTTTTTTTTTGTTTGTCTGGTACTTTTTTTAGGGGTAGTGTAGAAAAGGGAGGATTTCCGAGCTTTTGATGATCGAATCCGGATCAACTTAACAATGCACCCCTTGGCAAGGTCCATTCCCGGCTTCTGAAAAAGGCGAGCCACTCCGTCATTGGCCTGTCGAATTCTCAATGAGCGTAATCAGTAAAATGGAAATGTCCGACGCGCCCCCTAAAAACTCCCTTTTTTCGATCCGAAACGTCTCTCTTTTGAAAGCGAAATTTTTTCAAAAGGTTGCAAATTCTTATACGAATCTTTTACAAATCGAAAAACGTGACTTACTCATCTTTCCTTTTCTGTTTGCGTTTCAACACCCCCCAAAAAAATAACTTTAAAAATATCTTTACTCAATTATGTACACAATTTTAGATATGTTAAGAACTTTTTTTGTATGAACGCTATTGGAATTAAAAATAAAATTAGGATGGGAGAAAAGAAATGACTGGATTGGTATGAACTAAAAGAAACGGTGATCAAGCGGATTGTTTGCCCGACCGAGAAGTGTCAATCTGTCCTTAGTCTTTACTCTTTGCCCTTTGCTTTCCGACGGCGACGCCGTCCAGAAACCTGCAGGTCACGTCCGCCTGTCCACTACTAAACTTGATTAATTGTTCACTTAATAACTTTCGATTTGAAATCTCATTCCAATTCCGACTCTTTCTTTTCTAACAATTCAAACAGTTTCAATAACAAAAATCAATTGAAAAATCAAATTGAAATTTTAATTTAAACAGTACAAGATTTTCTTAATAACAATAAATATTTTTCAGTTTTTCTATGTTTTTGGGAGTTCGATTCGATGGTGGAGGTTTGGAGGGTTGTTGGAAAAGCACGAGTAGCCGTACCCTGACAACACATGATGGATCGGAGAACGGGGCCCGCAGCTTGCCAACTAAAAACCGTGCCACTCAGACTGTGACAAACACCGAAGGAGAACGACGTAGACGTCGACGACGATGGCAGCTAAGCGCGGAAACGACGCCCTGAATCGCTCCCTTTTTTTCCTTTTCTTATTATTTTCTTTTCTTTTCTGACTCTTTCCTACACTCTTTTCGCCCTGTCTCGGTCTTTACATCCCCCGTGTGACGACTTATTTATTGTAAAACCCGACATGTTTGTTTGAAAGGATAAGAAAGACGTCAAATGTATAGTTGATGTGAAAACGTGGGTTTATTAACCTATTTGCGTTATAACCTCAAACATGAGCGGATCATATATATTAATAAAATTGTATTTAACTAAAACTACAACTAATACTAATACTATTACTAGAATTAACGCTAGACCTAGAAAAACTCTCAAGAGGGCTAGACCCGAATGTTTCTAGTTCTAGGTCTTGTTGTAGTTTTAGTGCAATATTAGACATATCTGTCTTCAAACATATTATGTGGGACAAAGTTCCAATAAAGATGTACAACAATCTAACGTTAAATAACAATTAATTTATCTAGTAAAATGACAACAACTGCTTCTGCTGACTGAGAAATATAAAATCATCGATTATGATCGATTGGTCTAATAATTGAAGGAAGCTTAAAGCAGAGATTGCTTTCTTATCTTCTATTACAAAACTATTAATTATTTAAATAATGTTATGGTTCTTTCATTAATTTTTTTAAATATATTAAAGAAAATCCGTTATGATAGGCAACCCAAAATACACACTAGCAATTTGACATTAAAAAGATAACTTCTATTTATATATTTATTATTATTAAACAAAGTTGATACAACATCTTAACACAGATTATTTAAACAATTAAAAAAGATAAAAATAATTAATGTGAGGAAAAAGAAGTGTAAATTGACACAGAGATGGCGCTTGTGTCACTATGGCCACGTAAGTTTTGTTATGACATGAGTTACAATTTCGGGTGACGTTTAAAAAAAGGGGGATTCGTGGTTTTAACGTTAGTTTAGTTGGTTTTAAATGAATGTAGGTGTGATAATGAGTGAAAAACTGTGCCTATGGCTTGTTCTTTTGGTGATTGTGAACGTGTGCAGAACGTTAGCGACCGAACTAACCTTCGAGTTGCCGGATAGCGCGAAAGAGTGCTTTTTTGAAGATATTGAGAAAAATACAACAGCTACGTTAGAATTCCAGGTAAATAAGAGTAAATTAAATAAAGTCCTATTAAGATTAGAGTTAGATAATTAATTTAATCAATTTTTAGGTAGTAACTGGTGGTCAGTACGATGTAGATGTTTCACTTCAAGATCCAAAGAAAAAAATTATTTATAATCAAGTAAAAACCCAATTTGATTCACACACGTTCACAGCGGAGTCCACAGGAATTTACACGGTGTGTTTCAGCAATGAATTTTCAACGTTTTCGCATAAGTTAGTTTATATGGATTTTCAAGTTGGAGAAGAAGCCCCTTTACCTGGTATTGGAGAGCATGTCACTGTTATGACTCAAGTAATGAAACAAACATAAAAAGAATTTTTATTAAATTTGGTTATTTTTAGATGGAGTCTTCAGCTCAGGAAGTTCACAAATCGCTAAATACAATTGTTGATTTTCAAACGCATCATAGGTTAAGGGAGGCTCAAGGAAGGAAACGAGCAGAAGATCTTAATGAACGAGTTTTGTTGTGGTCTATTGTTGAAACTTTGGCCATTTTGCTTATTGGACTTGGGCAGGTGTTTATTTTAAAGAATTTCTTTACAGATAAAAGGCCATTTCAACCTTTGAAATAGTTTCTGATTGCAAAAGAACAATACAGTAAAGAAATAAAAGGTGTTAATATATTAGTACAATTTTTCTTTCTTTTTTTTTGTTGAGTGTACAATAAAACTGAAAATACAAGTGATTTTAAACCATTTATTCCCATTATAAGGTGCCACATTCATACAAAAATCTTAAATGGAACACACTATATTCCGCTAAGCGGCGTACAAAAAAAATTCTCAAATTTGGCAATGCGGATCGACTTCTCCCTATTTATTTCGTTATTAATTTTAATGAGTTGATTCAATGAATAGTCTTTAACTTAAACACACTTCCTAATGAATTAGAAAAGAAATCTATTGTGTTAAAACAAAAGCACTTACGTGTATAATACAACAACAAATCTTATACAGAAAAGAACAAAACAATTCTTTCTTCAAAAATATTAAAATACGAAGAAAAATGCGATATTCACTTGGAAAAGTCAGTCCGATTAGCAAATATTCTACCTACAAATTGTTATTCTTCTTTTCAATAATAATAATATATGTATATATATATAGTTTATATCCTCAAAAAATATTTTTTCCCGTTAATGCGAAGAATATGTTAATAATTTTCTCGCATTGGCACTGTGTACAGCGATATTATCAATAAAAGTTCAAATTGGGCTTTTTTTATTGTTATTAAACGCAACGTAATAGAAACTAGTCGAGCTTAAAGCTAGACTAGATGCAAAATCGAACGCAACTAAATAAAAAGTTCAATCAACCCCACACACTTTCTTCTTCCTAATCCTCTTCTTCATCCGTCGGCAAAAAAGCGTACTTATTTGATCCTACGAAATTTGGTGGCTCTGGTTCTTTCATTTTCGGCATTTCTTTCTCTCTACATAAAACATATTTAAAAAAAAATGTTTAGCTATAAATTGGGAATTAAAAACACAAATTTTACCTTCTTGTTTTTTCTTTAACAGGCTGTTGTGGTTTATCCCCTTTTTCTCCTACTCTATCCTCTAAAACAAAATAAAACACAAAGATCACCCCCATTCCAAGATAACAACAAATTAGTCTGAATTGAGTTCTAACTCTTTTTTCTTATAAAATAAAAAAAAGAATTAGCTCGCGCATTGTACTAAAACAGCGAACCACGGAAGCTTTCAACGCAATCAACATCAACACCTCTTATTTCCTAACAAGAAATTATTAAGAAATCCTCCTTGGCTCGAAGTAACTGCGCACATTTTCTGGTACTTCCGCCCCGTGTAATACGAGCGCCCTCCTAGAGCGTTATAATTGGTTTAATCTCAGACCTTCCCGGGGCTAGATAAATAGTAACCGAGTACTCTGTATGTAAGCCCCAAGCGCAAGATTGCCGTTATTTGGTGGGAGGTGAGTAAGAAAAAACTTACCACGACGAATTGGTGCCGAACGTTCGGGAGATTTCCGGCGGTTAGGAGACCGTCGTTTTCGCTCGGGTGTTGGTGAACGTCGTTTCCGCTCTGGTGTTGGTGAACGGCGTTTCCGCTCCGGTGTTGGGGAACGTCTACGACGCAATACTGGTGATGATGATCTTCTGCGACGTTCTGGAGAGGTTGATTCTGGCTCTGGTGGCGAACGCCCTCTTTCGGGGGAGTACGATCGACGATATTCTGGTGATGATCCTCCATCAGGGGAACGCCTTTGCAAAAATAGTAATAAATAATGATATACAGGATGTGTCAAATGTCTGGAACATAGCCAATAACTTCGCGATTTGTGGTTTTAAAGAAAAATGTTTCAAATAAAAGATTCTTTATTAATTGTGTCGCATTTTTTGGCGATATTTGCTTGTTTACATTATTTCTTGTTTCAATGCTATCTCAACCAACATTGTTATTTTAAATGGGATGCATATGTTTTTTTTTTGCATATTTTGTAAGTAATTGAGAGTTTAAACAAATATTGGGCGATTAAGCGAACGACAAAGAATCATTAATATTTAATGATATATGAGTACGGAGATAGAAAACGCACTCAAAGTGTTCAATAATATTTATCTATGTATTCAGATACAACTTTGATAACGAAAGTTGCACAGTTTTTGATGTTCTATCACTGACACCTAATAAAAGTTTATGTTGAAGGGAAAGTTTCTTTTGACTGCAGCGCCATCTTTATATTTGTACAATGAAAGATAATAATACTTAAGAACTGAAGTCATTTAAAAACTCTAGCAACAACTTCTTACTAAATCTCAACCCATTCCTGAAATACTTGGCCTGAGAACTTTTAAGTGAAACATCCTTAAACATCATTAATGTATACATACAAGATATGTATACAATTATAATATAGGTATAAGTCATACTATTATCTATTTAACACATCAGTATATTGTTAAATATAAATGTTAACACTCATAGATGGAATCCAACTCGGGTTATTCCCCAAGTTGCTCTATTCCATGTTGATAGATAAAGTTGGGGCATTCCCAGAGTTGTATATAGGATATATAAATCAAGGTGGTTCTAGTTTTAATATATTTTTACCTATCAGGTGATCTTTTATGATCAGGTGATAATCTTTTCCTATCTGGTGACCTCCTTTTATCTGGAGATCTTTTCCTTTCAGGTGTCCTCCTTTTTTCAACACTTCGCCTTCTATCGGGACTTCTCCTCCTATCAGGACTTCTTCGCCTTTCAGGTGTTCGCCTTCTTTCCGGAGTTCTCCTTCTATCGGGTGACCTCCTCCTCTCTGGAGACCTTTTCTTATCTGGAGATCTTCTTCTATCCGGGGATCTCCTCCTTTCTGGCGTTCTACGTCTATCGGGTGTTCTCCGTCTTTCTGGCGTTCTTCTTCTTTCTGGGGTTCTCCTCCTTTCAGGCGATCTCCTTCTATCTGGAGATCTTCTAGAGAATTTTTCTTCTCGCCTCCTTTCCGTACGATCTTCAGCAACAACGTTTGTGCTTTCCTTGGCTAATCTTTCTTCAATTTGTCGCTCCCTAGCGCTCGTATCAACTGGTTTTGCGTTGCCGAAAATTGAAGCAGCTGGAACTTGACTAACGGGAGGTTTTTGCTGTGGTGGTTCCTCTTGAGGTTGTTGGGTTGGTTCTTCTTGAAGCGGTATAGAACGCGGTAAGATTCTTAGTTTAGGACGTGTTCTCATCTCTTCTTTAGGATCGTCTTTACTACCAGCCCCTCGATAGAAACCACCACCAGCAGCTCCAGCACCACCGCCACCGCTACCTCCATTTCTAGATTCATAACCTCTACGTTCAAATCGGCGTTCACCCCCTTCTCGATCTCTCTCAAATCTTCCTTTATCTCTATCTTCTCTGAAACCTCCACCTCCCCCTCCTCTTTCGCCGCCATCTCGCCAAGAGGAAGACGAAACATCTCTGTCTCTGTCTCTCTCTCCTCTATCTCTCATGGGTCTTTCCCCTCGTCTTTCGCCCTCAACTGGATCGCTTCGTGGACCAGACCTCCAATCGCCAGTAGGAATATCAGGTCTATCACTGTTTCTGTCCCTTCCCATGTCCATTCGACCGCCTCGTCTTCTTTCATTATCAGAACCGCTTGAAACATCTATTCTTATCCGTCGATTTTTTAATGTACAATCTGATATCGAGAGGGCTTTTATTAAACTTTCTCTATCTGAGAATTCAACGTAACCATAACCTTTTAGGCGTGGTGTCTCAACGCCCGCCCTATCATCTTTTGGGATTCTCATATTAGAAATTTTTAAATTACCGAAAAAATTCGCTATTTCTAATTCATCAACATCATAAGGGAGGTTCATTAAATACGCTACATAGGGAGGATTTTGAGGTACTTTATCGCTGAAGTCTTCAAGACCTCTCGCTGCTTTCGGGGCCGTTGGTAAGACAACATTAGGTTTTGCTCTACTAAGATCGTTGTTATCTTAAATTAAAAAGACTTTTTTAATTTTAAAGACTTAAATACATTTCGTTTTAATTAATTAATAATTGTAAAATTCACTTACCGTAAGCATCTTCAACTTCATCAGCCCAATTCAATGTAGATTTTCTTATAGGTAAAGCAGGAGCACTGCCGGGTGTTTCTTGTAAGAAATCGTTAAGCGCAAGGGTAATTCCCTTCTTCTTGCCTTTTTTCCCTATAAAGGATGAGAATAAACAATTAAAATCTTAGGAAAGATAAAAGTATGTCGGCCACCACGCGGTTTTCTGAAGACCATATGCGAGGTCGATATTTTAACGGAAAATACGAGGTATTGAAAACCGATTTGAAATAGCAAATGAAATGGGATTGAAGTTTAGCATATAGTGAATGGTTTTTAGGGTGGATCGATGGAAACTGAGTCTTGAAAATGGTTAAAAAAGGTTCACGTGACAAATTTGTGGTAGTACTAACCTGAAGAAGCCATGATGAAGGGTCTTTCGAGGCGCAGTACGACCAACTAAAGAGACACATATGCCACTTGGAGTTGCCAAATTTGATTAGTACCAACATAAAAATAATAACATATTTTCTCAGATTATTACTTATTAATGTAATAAATTCATTTTAAGGGCAATATATTAATGCGTACATTAAAGAGAGGTGATACCAACAATTATTTGATGGAAATATTAAGATAACTAGTTGGTTTAGATTTTTAATAGGGAATTTAATTTTGTTAAGTGACCAACCTGTTTGACAATCTTGACATATCGTTCAGTTTGTTTACGCTTCCTCTTCCGTTCTACACTGGTGTCAGTAGGTACGTATCTCTGAGAATACCATTAATTTATTTCTAAAATATCTTAACCATCTTAATAAAAAATCATCTACAAACATTTTTAAAAGATAAATCAACCATTTCTCTAAGCATCTTTGTTAGTATCTCGTTCCGGTTTTCTCATAAAGCTTCGAAAACACAAATTATAACCTTACTTTTTTTGCACGACCATGTTATAGGTCCATCAACATGGGGGCCTACAAGTACATTCAAGAACTTTATCGAAAAAAACAAAGCGATGTCCTTAAGTTTTTACTCCGGATAAGAGTTTGGCAATACCGTCAATTAACAAAGTTGCACCGAGCTCCCAGACCATCTAGACCAGATAAAGCTAGGAGGTTAGGTTATAGAGCCAAACAAGGTAATTATTTAATGTTTATTCACTGGTTAAAGTTAATTAAGTCTTTTTTAGGTTACGTTATCTTCCGTATTCGCGTTCGTCGTGGTGGTCGTAAACGTCCAGTACCAAAAGGTGCTACTTACGGTAAACCTAAAAGTCATGGAGTTAACCAACTTAAACCTGTTAGGAATTTACAAGCAATTGCTGAAGTAAGTAATTATTTTTTAGTACAAAATCAATAATATAAAAAAGTGAGGTTATGTTGATTTAAATTATGATGATTTATTTATAACACATTGAAACTAATGATTGTTTATCTTCCTTGGATGTCTGAACAACAGTTTAATAATACATCTAGATTTTAATTTTTATTTATAATTATTTAAAATGATTTTGTTTTTAAGGAACGTGTTGGAAGACGATGTGGTGGTTTAAGAGTCTTAAACTCTTATTGGGTTGGTCAAGATGCATCTTATAAATATTATGAAGTTATCTTAGTTGATCCATCTCATAATGTAAGTGAAAGCAATTATTTTAAATGTTATAAGATATTAATGATGATTGGGCATGCACCACTCTTAAGAGTTTTTGCTGAAATCTATCCCATAATTTAATTCTGATCTTTATTAATTCAACTTAATTATGATTCGTGATTTAAAAGATGTTTATTGTTATTTTCTATTTTTTTTTTGTAGGCCATTCGTCGGGACCCTAAAATCAATTGGATCGTAAATTCTGTACATAAACACAGAGAGCTCCGTGGCAAGACATCCGCTGGTAAATCTTCAAGAGGACTCGGAAAGGGTCATAGGTACTCTCAGACAAAGGGTGGTTCTCAAAGGGCCGCTTGGCTAAGAAGAAATTCGCTCCAATTACGTAGAAAACGATAAGATGTTTGTACAATTTATTGTACACAATAAAAAATGTTTGGTATTTAAGAAAATGTTGTTTTAATTGTGATTAGTTTTTTTTTTGTTAGAAACCCTTAATATATATAAAGGTACTTTCTTCAAAACAATAATTCAAATGATATTTTTGGCGTTAATTATTACTCTTAAATTTATTAACTGTTTGAGTCCCAAGGAGTTGAACAAAACCACTGTTGAAGAGGTATTTAAACAGCGCTTTTTTAAAAATTACATAATAGTGTTGTAAATAAAAATCTTTTATTAGAAACATTTTTGAGAAATTTGGATTTTAGATACATATTTTAAAGATAATTATATCTTAGTTATGCAATGCTGCTTGTATTAACAGCTAATTTCTTTCTTTCTTATTTGCAAGTTGATGAAATAGTAAAATATATCTTGTATGACTATTCTGCTCTAAACTGAAGTTTTTGCAAGAATATCAAAATTAGTTTTATCATTTATCATCAATAATATAATCAAAATTGAATCTATCAATACAATTTTTAAATTTTGCATGTTTCAATTAATTACCAAAAGATGTCGCTAAATAATTTCGTTAAAATGATTAAAAGTTTTTAAATTTGAATGCGATTAATATATTAATATACGATTCGTATCGATTTACATTTTCTAACCGATATAATTCATAATTTATTTATAAATATATTTAAGTTCATTACATAATACAAAATTTGACTTAGTTTAGTTTCAAACCACGTTCCAATTGATTTTGGTGATCTCGATGGCTCGAAGGTGTGGACGGCACAGCACGAAACGCCAGTAGCGCCATATAACGGTGCGCATAGACAAAAGTGGAGTTTCGTGGCAGTCGTTTGCAGTAAGTCGCACATTCCGCAGGTTTCGGTCGCCTATTCCCGACACTGTTCACTTGGTAAGTCGGTCGTTTTGTTCCCGGTATAAGAAAATCAGTTGATATCGCGAAAATTACGACTCATCGGGGGTAGAAGTGCGCGTAAAAATCGTCCGGGCGTCCCATTTGATTATTTTAAAGGTGGATTTTTCGAAACTCCAGCGTACTTTTATCAGAAAACCTTCGAATCTTCATTCGATGATCCCAGTAGGTTTCGGCCATTACAAGGTTGACTTGAGTCCGTTGAAAACGTCAAAGTTTTAACTGGAACTGGTTGTAAAAACGTCGTTTTCTTGAAAGAAAATTGAAGATTCGAAGGTTTTTGATAGATTTAACGACGGGATTATAACGTTTTTGGGCGATTCTCAGTGGAGTTTGGATAGATTTTTAGGGTTACGTAACTGATTCGCGATCTATTTCTCCCCCGTTGTCGTTCGCGTCAAATTGTATTGTCAAGATTCGTGCGATTTATAGTGTTACGTCGGTTTTAAATAAATCAATTTTTCTTTTAGGTTTATTTGAGGCCTCCAGCTAAATACTAAAAACTTTACGAAAATGTTTGCTGCCAGATTGATCGCCCCTGCTGCCGTCAGAAGCGCCGTAAGTTTCTTTTTAAAACCTTTCCATAAACAAAAATTAATTTTCACCGTTCTTATTATCTAACCAAGTCAAGTCCATTTCATAGTTTTAAAGGTTACTTCATTTTTTTTTGCACTCCTAGGCGATTACATAACATCGAAATGTAATCCTAATCTTGGAATTCTTTTTAATTTTTGAAGTATTTTTTAATTCTTTTTTGTAATTGAGGATTAATTTGATTTTGATTTAATTTTTTTTCTAGCTGATCTCGAACACTAAACAATATTTGAGGCCGTTGAGCAGTGTGGTTGCCCAAAGTCAATCTTTAGTTCAGAGCCCAATTGTACAACAACACCAGACAAAACCAGCTTTGTTACCTGCGATACGCGGATTCCAAACTTCACAAGTTAGCAGGGACATTGATTCTGCTGCTAAATTTATTGGTGCGGGTGCTGCTACCGTAGGAGTTGCCGGATCTGGTATGCTTTATTTCAAAGTAATATTTTCCTTCCTAATCCTTTTTCGCGTCATTTCTTTAGTGCGTAATGATGACATTTTTAATAAATCAATGAAATTTTTATGATTTCTTTATCTTCCTTGGATGTCTGAGCACGCACAATTAATTTTAAAGTATTTTTTTATGAAAATATTAGGTATTGGTATTGGTCTTGTTTTTGGATGTTTAATAATTGGATATGCTAGAAACCCTTCCTTAAAACAACAATTATTCTCCTATGCTATCCTTGGTTTCGCCCTTTCCGAAGCGATGGGACTATTTTGTTTGATGATTGCCTTCCTTATGCTGTTTGCCCTTTAATCCTGAAGCTATTAAAAGTGAACTGATTTTTCCTTAAGGTTATTTAAAGACTGTATTGATACCTGTATATAAGAACTAAGTAAATAAGGTACTGTAGTGATTTTTTATTAATTTCTAATTTATGTATTTTATTATAAATTATATTTTAAAATGGCGCATCTAATTCCTATGTTTCCCAACATCCTTTTAATATATTTAATTATTAACTCGGCTTGAGTTATTTATTATATATATTTTAGGTGCTGGTATTGGAACAGTGTTCGGCTCCTTAATCATTGGTTATGCCAGGAATCCATCGTTAAAACAACAACTTTTCTCGTATGCCATCTTAGGTTTCGCCTTGTCTGAAGCCATGGGTCTGTTCTGTCTTATGATGGCGTTCTTGCTGTTATTCGCTTTCTAAATACGCTCACTGCCGGGGGCTTCGTCAATAACATTTATTATAATATACATAAAAATACCATAAGATCGAACATCCGAGAATTACAAAAAAACCAACATCAGCATCGGTGATCACCATCTAGTAAATTCTTAATTTTAATAATGATAATTTTCTTTTTGTTTCTATCCTAACGTCTGCAGCAACAGAACGGAAATAAATCCTTTATTAATTGTTCTAAATTGGGCGTCGTCTTTATTATTTCTTTTTTTTTTTGTTGATTGGGTTCACAAAACAGGGGGCGCGTGTCGAGGGGGCTTCGCGATTCCTTTTGTTTCCCCAATTTCTCAAAAAATCTGGTATCCAGTGACTTTTGGGTATTTTTTTCTTAGAAAGAGGTGCCGCATGTACTGTTTTACTTTAACTATGGAAGTCATCAATAAAAGAATGTTTCTGTTAAAATGAGATTTTTTTTTTAAACTACGTATCAATAAAGTTTTAGAAAATATTGTTTTTGATTTTTAAAATTTAATTCCACGTGAATTCTTTTTATTGTAAAGGTAAGTTAAATGAAATAGATTGTCTTATTATTCATATACTTCATAAATATGTTATTTTATAATAAGTTCGGCCGATTTTTATAAACATGTCCAAGTTAAAAAGTTATTACTTCTTATAGTGCTAAGCAGCTAAGAGAGTCATTCAAAAATATAGACTATGAAGTATTTGATGTGCTTTAGTGAAGTCCAATATTCCATTCTTAACCCTTTGAAGGAATTTATGAAATAGAGGCTCAAAAAGTAATTCTCAAGGAAAGACTATCGCAATATTTGTGATTAATGAAAAAATTATAGCCAATGCAATTACAACTATGGAGAGATGGGGACTGAGCAAAATAAAGACGCCATTCAAGGACTGTATTCTAGGGGAAGTTTGGGTTTTAATCTATCTTTAAAGAAATCTATCTTCAAGTACGCTAGAAAGAAAGCAAATGAAGAACATTTTAATATCTTGGGAGAAACACTTAACCATGCACAATCTCAACAAATTTATAACATTGATGACGCCAGCTTCATACTACATCCAAGTAAGACTAAAGTTCAGAAATAAACTCCTAATGAGGAAGGTGTTGTTGTGACACAGCCACCCCTTTAGTAGAATTTTGATGATGTCATGAACTACAAAATTCCTAAACACCAATTCATTAATTTTGGAGAAATTTTTTCTGGGAATCGTTTTTTTATTGTGGCATCTTTCAATGATTGGAAGGATATTGCAGAAGGATAAGCAACTGCAAAAGAATTGTCATAAAAGGTTTAAATGTTTTAATTCCAAAATACTGATGTTGGTGACCAAATGCAATTATTGCCAAAAGTTTGTTATTAATGGCCCTCCTCTTTCTCCTGACATAGTAATTTTTGATGCTTCATGGACGATCTTGAATTCAGTTCAATTTGGTGGAAAATTTTTACTTATCAGAAAAAAGCTCCATCGTCATGGATTTCATCTGAACGAAAACGGGATAGTACTACGGATCTTATGGACGGAAACGTTAATGATGATAAATGAAAAACTAATAAATTTTAATAAAAGAAAAGTTGTAACTTACAAAAAGCATTTTTACTTGCATTTGTTTGACAATTAAACAAGCACCGTTCTTGTGAAAAGGTTAAAATTTGTTCTCTACTTATTACACTTCATCTTAGAGGTAATTTATTAGTCAACCTATTCAGACGATTGTTATATATAAGTGACGTCCCCTATTATTGTTATTGATAAAGGTCTTGTATAAGAGTCTATTTTTAAAGTGTAAATTAGAAATTTACTTCTATAATATATACACATCTTAATTTATTATTACAGTTATAAATAATTTGGTTTATATGTGTAACATATATGAATTATATTTGGATATTTGAATAGTATAGGTGTTAAATCCAGAAATTTCACTTTATTTTTGAAACAAAATAATTTTGGGTATACATTTATTTACATAAAACATTTAATCTTTACATAAATATACAATTTAGACATATACGTAAATACTTTGGACGTTACTCTGTACGTCATTTAATTTAACTTAATAAGTAGAATCACATTGATTTTTTTTAATTTATAAGTACATCTTACATTATATCAGTTTTTTTTCTTTCAAGAATCAGTGCACCTTGTCTTTTTCTTTTTTTTTATGAAATTTGAAATTTAAATCTCATAAATCGTTTCCAATTCATTTCCAGTCGTAATATTCCCCATGGAAATCCACTGTGGCTATGTGATATCCTCATTAACTTCCTCCATGTATTTCACCAAATCGGAACTGCTGAATTCCATTTCGTCCATATCTTGCAAACTTGAATTACTTATAGTGTTTCCCATATCCGGGCTATTATTATCAATCTTAAAAGTATCACTTTTTCTTGTACCTTTAAATAGAGCGGTACACCTTCTCCAGAAATTCATCTTTTCGATTTTCCTTTGTCTCATTTTCTTTTGACAATTTTGTCGAAGCTTCGGTACCGGTAACAAAGCGTTTTCAACGGTACTTTTCGTATCGGATTTGATCAAATTGGTGAATACGGTCGTTTGATTCGTTGGAGTAAGAAGCCGGGGACGAAAATTTGTTGTTGAATGTTGTCTTGAATTCGGTGCGCTTTTCGATTTTGATCCGATTTTATCTATTCGTATTTCTGTTGTGGCTGTGCTTGCAGCACCATCAGATACCGAACGTTGATAATTCCTCGAAGGATGATATTTGGATAAAACCGAATAACTTCTATTTAATTCACGTTCACGTCTTGTTTTGCAAAGTTGGGCTAAGGTTGTCTGGAAAAAGAACAAGAAAAAGATATTTTAAATTTATTAATAAATCCATAAATCTTTTATTTTAGGTTATAGGAAAATCCCAACAAAAACTTTTTATTGCTTCGAACGTTTTCTGGCTTGCCTTACAGAGTTATTCTAGTATTTAAAAGAGCTTGGAAATGTAAATTTTTAACGAAAAGTCGACGTTACCATAAAAGAAGGAAGCTAAAAGACTCGAGACGACACTTCGTGGGTTAAAAACTTGGCCTCTTTACACTTTTTTAGTTCGTCTAGGACTTTATAAATTATAACTCGATTATAATGCGAGCCGTCTTCGTTTTAAAATAGATAATTCGGAACGGTTTCTTTTTTAACCTTTATAAATTATTCATCTACTTGGTTTTATAATTATTTTATTTATTCTTACAAAAATGCAAATCGTTTTTTACCTAATCTTGTTCTAATAGTTTTAACAATTTTATAATTTTATTTATATGTTCTATTATAATGAGTACGAAATTGTTCCATGTGTTAAAACAAAGGGTCTTTTGATTATCCTCATCGTTTATACATTCAACTCTCTAGTCCCGATTTCTGTTAGTAACGTATGCGACCCGAAAATTCACTATTACTCTCGCAGTTTGAATCTAGATTGAATACACAACATCTCCTTTATCTTTAGGGGAGGATATACGTGAGGTTTTGATTTAATTAGTTTGACTACTAAAGTGTACTTATACTAGGAATCGTCTCTGTGATATGATATAACGAGGTACTCATTAATAACACCTATAGGTACTATAAATTATTAAAAACTCTCCTTTTGGTTAATTTCGATTACTACTAAACTATATTAGATGAAACAATTCAATATGAGTTTGTTAACAATCTACCCGACTTAATTGCGGTTAGATTCAAATTGCATTCGCGGTGGAGATTTGAATTGGTCATTTTGTCATTGCAACAGGTTCCAATAACCGCCACTGATATTAAGTGGATATGAAAATATGCTTTACAATCGAGTTTATGTGACCTTAGTGAGAATTCAATGCAATTTCGATTCCACTTCGTCATTGTTTTCTAAGTTCCTATTTTTCAAATACTCATATTGATTTTCAATCAAAACATATTTTCTTTATTTTAGTCTTGAATTGGCTTTTAAAGGAAAAATCCTTTCTTTGTTGTTTTGTTGAAATGTGAATTGATTTCTTTTTTAAATATGTTACGATTAACAATACGTTTTAATTAATTGGTAAAAGATTGATAGTTAATATAATATAAATCGTTTTTTAATTGATTATGATTCTAATCACGCGAGTAGCGAATTGCAAGAACATTGTGATGAACAAGAGGGTCCAATTATGGTACTAAACGACGATTCGAGATCGGTCCGTGACGAAGTTATATTATAGTGGGAAGAGGAGCGGTCGTGTAATACAATTTCCGGTTTGAAATGTCCCGATGGGCGCGTTTATAACATTACTCTCACTTACACTTTACTTGTATTAAAAATGTACTTATCTTATTTTAATATAATTACATATTTGTCATTACTTTACTCGTTACGTTGTGATGGGGACTAGGTTGGTTGTCGGATTTTATGAGCAAAATCCCTGTAGAGGAACGTTAAAAACGGGGCTTAAATATTCCCTCTCTAAATAAATCTGGGGAACGTTTTTAAAATAATCCGATTTTCTGTTTCATTTTGTTTGTGTGTCACTTAATTTTCTGCAAAATGCATTTGTATTCATTTAAAAGTTATTTATTGTCGAGATAATTTACAAAAGGAAATGGAAATATAATATTTCGTTGAACGTTGGTAGGTATTTCAGAAAATTCATATGTTTGGAATGCGAACAGATGTTATTTCTCTCTCAATTTCGCTGATATTACTTTGCTTGTTGTTGCGTTATTACGACATTTGTATAAATCGTTTATACCACGCGTTATATTTGATTATAATGATTTTAAGAATTTGTAATAAAATGTAACTTATAGTATTGCACAACACTCAAAAACGAATGTATAAATTAAGAAAGACTATGATTATTTTATCCTCATCAATGTATCTTTCCATCTGGACATATATCATGTGTTCAAGCACTCCCGAGTCGACTCCGAACACTCAACTAGGAATGTACAACCAATTTTCACGGGGAAAAGGTTGTTTTTTGTGATTTCTTCCACTTCTTTTCAATGGTGATCAATTACAAATTTTGTAAAAGATAGTGCAAAGCATTGGTTGCAGGCAGCTAACTCGTCTGGTTATTGTAGAAATGAATCATTTTGTCTGATTAAGCCGAGATCGTTTACGGCCGAGGCTCTATAATTAAAGCCATATTGACCCAAAAGTGCACAACATTCTGCAACTCTTCTGTAAGTAGCTTCGGCTAATCTTAGAGCGGAGTATCTATGACTTTATTCGATTATTGTTGTAATGGATTATTTTGAATGATTTAGCAAGCAGCGGCTGCTAAATTTCTGAATATTATGAAAGCGTAACCAGCTTCGATCAAACATAGAGTGGCGAATCTATGACTTATTACGAAAATGGATCATTTTGGATGGCTACAACATAAATTTTTTTCCACTTTACTCTAAAACTCCCCGAGACTTTAATAATCGAAATATTCCATCGAATTTAAAAAAAAAACGCGTTCATAAATGTTTATGAACCGTGTTTTTTCATGCGTCCTAAAATGAAGTGTGATTTGACGTCAATCTCTCATTGACACATATTGTAACAATTTTCCATTTTTTTTTTTAAATTAAACGTTTAATTTAAATGAAATTCAATATTTTCCCTTTTACGTGTGTCAGTTGTAATAAAAACTTTTAAATGATTTTTGTTAACCCTTTAATTTAAATTTATTTTTAAATCTAAATTTGCTTTAAATCAGTCTAGAACAGGGGACAAATTACGGTTTTGTGATTGACATTTCGATTGTAATTTAAATAACAAGCTCGTATCTATTTATAGAAACTGTCTCGTTATTCCAGGTTTTACACAAACAGTACTGTTTTCAAACTAATAGTGTTATTAGCAAAAAAACGTGTGGGCGAGATATTCAAAGTTGTGGTTAATTAGACAGTTTTTTATAACAGATTTTTGTATCTCTATGTCAATGCAATTTCAATTTAATTTTCTAATATTTTTTAATTTTGCTTTATTTGTGCAATTTTAGTCCGCTTTAATTGTGCGAATGCTGAAATTACTTTTAATTGATTTTGAACTCGCAAAAACTTTTATAATTACTTAAAAAAGATTTATTTTGTCATTTATGCTTTTTACTAGGAACAACTACAAGGGATGTGTGTGAAAATATGCCAATTCTTTACTTAAAACGAAATTTATGATACAATTTTTATTAATGTGTTGTCAAGATTTTTTTTTCTGTAATCACTTTATCATCAACATCCCGATAAAAAATGCGATCAATAAAAAAAGTTATTACAACATTCAAAATATACATAAACTTGCATCGATTGCTTGTTTAATTACCACGTTGTTGACACTTATCGTTAACTATCGGCGGAAAACGACGATAACATCAGCTCATTTTTTAATAACATCCCAACATCAAAGCATAACCACGCCAATAAATTACCTTACAGTAATTGAACTTACTTTGTTCGAACAATGTTCAAGTTTATATTTCGGGAATAGAGATGATCGATGGAGTTTCAATAGAACCGTCTCTTTCAACTCTATCTCTCTCCCACAAATCACTTATTGTTCATGAATTCTAGGTATGTAAAATCGGTTTAGTGAGAACATCAGACAATTAAAATTCGATGCATTGCAAAGCGGTAAATGGAAAAATCCCTCTATTATATTTTTTTTAACGGTACATGAAATTGAATATAACGTAACAGTTGGTAAAGTTTTTCGATTTCGAATTGAAATCGAGTTTTAATAAAATGAATAGGTACAACTCAATATTGGAATTTTAATACTGAATCGTATAATTTAACTTTTAATCAAGTATTGTTATTTTTTTTTCTCGTTCTTTTAACCTCTTCATTTACATAATTGCCATTTTATCATCTTAATTGGTCATGATTTCGTTAATAAAATTGAATTAGTTCAATTCGTAATTCGCACACGTGTAAAGTATCTATTTGGATGAGTTTCTCATTTTTGATTAATGTCTAAAAAACTTAAACTTTGTTGTTCATAGCTTCGTTTTTACGTCCTTTTTGTTAAAAACGTAGATTATTGTGTCATTGAACGGAATGAGATTTAAATTTATTGATTGTTCGTGGAAAATAACTGAGGAAAACATAGGTTAATTACGGGCGGGTAAAAGTTTAGGTGAAATAGCTTCATCATGTACACGGGAAGTTCATTAATTTACCTACGTACACGCAGATCACCTTCAAATGTGGAGTTTATAATCCTCCACAAAATGTAATTCGTTCTGTGACTTGGAATGACTTGGAAACTTTACAAATCCACCATTTTTCTTTTTTAATTATATCTGTTGATGACATATCCATTTCGATTCCTTTTATCGTTTTCTTGGTGGAGAGCACTTTAATAACTCTTTGCGAAAATGCGAACTTGTTGCCGCAAGACCGATTGTAAAACGAGCTTCAAAGCCTTCCGGCAGCAAGCTTTTTACAGACAGGCTACAATTGCATTATTATTCTCGGAAAAGAACCTTACCTTGAAAGCGTCGCGGAATTTATTCGACATAATATTGTAGAGCAGTGGGTTGACCGTCGTCGATAAAAAATAAAGGACCCCGGAAATATGGATTAAAGCGACGTAGGCGTTGAAAGCTATTTCTTGTTGCTCAGGTGTTGCATTTGCCAAGTAAATTGCAAATAAACGTTGAGCGTGAAATGGTGCCCAACACACAAAAAACGCCGTCACTACTGCAACTGAAACAAAAAATTAAATCGAGTTAATAAAGATTGTTCTTATTCATTCTTGAATTGTCTAACATGAAACTCAACACTAGTACTCAATATCAATTATTGGTAAATATCTATTTAGTGTGTTTCAAAGTACTAATGATAATGGCATGTGCAAAAAGTTTATTGCCTGATATTAATTAGTTACGTATTGTTAGTCATGTTATACGTATTGTTTAAAAAGCTATATATTTAAAACTATTACACCTATAGACATGAACGATATAGCAAAATAATAGCAAAATCGATTATTATTATTAGTAAAAAAATTTTACTAATAATAATTTATTGTCTCCAGAGAATTACAATACATAAACAACAGTAATAGTAATATCAATACTCCAATATTCCATTCTCAACTAATCACACTTCACCAGCAGATGGTATAAAGACTCCCAGCCTCCAAGTTTTTATTGTTTGGCTCTGATGACAACTTGAGATCACTATCTGTCAGTATAAGATATATGCGAGAGAATATGACAGAATATGCGAGTTGTTCGTCTCTTGTAAATTACAACGCGCTTTCAAAAGAGAGTGTATGGAAAAGATTCATCGTTCATTGTGAACAGAGCATTTTGCGATTGTATCGGCAATTTAAGACCACTCAAGCTAGGAATACCACAGCAAACGCTATGGAAGTTTTTACGACGTCACTTTTTTCAAACCGTACTGTATGGAAATTCTGTAACACTTAACACCGTTTGTTGCTTGGAATTTTGCGTCCAAATACATAAAGCATCGCAAAAAGAAAATTTCAGTACAATCATTCGAGTATGCAAGTTCGCAGATACAGGATGTCACGCCCTGACTTAACGTACTGCGATTTCTTTTTTTAGGAACAAATTAAGTATACTGTTTCGTGCCTCTACTAGCAAACACATTTGAAGAACTCAGAGAAGGATTATAGCTGCAGTGATTTAATGACCTAGTTTAAACACTTTGACTTAATGTAAAACGATGAAATGAATTCAGAATTTGTTGCCAAGCAATTTTTATGCAAATTTAGTTTTACCTGTTACATTTTAAAACAATTCAACCAATGAAGTCTTTGAAAGCGATATTCTGAAAATGTCGACATAAGCAGTTCCAGGAACTCTTGTCTTTATGCGTTATTCTATTATCAAATCGACAAAGGCGGAGAAATGTCGGAACCTTTTAGACCTCTTTCCAAAGGTATTTCCGACGAGCCAGGTCACCCGATGTACCTCTTCTGGATTTTTTTTGTTGAGCCTTCTTAAACAGTATTCTAAGAATTAAGAACTAAAGACAATGTATCGAAGCGAGTAGGAAAATGTTTAAAATTCATAAATCTTATTTGTTCTTGCTAAATTATAAACGTTAGTTAATTGTTTCTGAAGAAGATTTTTTGCCGATGTTTTCGAGATAATCGCTTGTCTCACGTTAAATGGACCACTCTGTATACCGTTTTAAAAACAAATAAAATGGTGCAAAAAGTTAATTAACATTTACTTTTTATATTTTAGTTGCGTGATTTGAAAATACATAAAACAAGTTAATTGAACGATGGTTTCCAGTAGTAAAGTCTATTTGAATTTTTGAGCTTGTGTTATGAAGGGGTTCGTAATTGTTCGCTTATGCTAGTCTTTTTTTGTGAAAGCTCTAGAATCGGATGTAGGGGGAAAATATTGAAAGCGTGGTGGATCGGTTAAGCTTCTTTTTAATTTTTTTTTAGGTTTTCCTTTTTTTTTTGGTTTGAGTTCGGAATTGCGTTTACGTTTGTTGGAAGGTTTTGCTGATAAAGCTTTCGAATTATTTCAGATCGGTGGCTGTAAAACTTTAACGACTAGACTTAGTTTGTGGTTTATTAAAAAGGAAATAAAAATAAGCTATAAAATGTATTTGAACTAAAATTGAACATCGGTATTCTGTTAAGGATTCGTTCTTGTTAGACGTCTAATGAATTTAGTTTTACGTGATTTCGAGTACGAACTTCGTTAGAGCTTTTATTTTTAAATTTTTAATATATCACTCGCATCTGTTTGTGTTGTGTTTAAAAGTTTTGTATTCAATGGCAGTTTGGTTGCAACTATACGATACAAATTCCGATAGAAAGGGGTTCGCTTTATATAATAATTAGTTAGAGAGCAAAGTTAATCTGCCTCAAAGCTGTAGCAAGCGGGGTTTTACTCGACTTTAAAGGAATGAATTTGGTTTGATTTAGTTGAATTTGCGCATTATAATTAATAATTAAATTTAATATGATCAGATTAATGTATGAAGCTTTGTGTAAAGCTTTATAACGTGTATTTACATTAAGAAAAAAACTTTATTCGCTTTAATTGTATAAAAATGTTTCGAGTAGTTAATTATTATCGTTGTACATAACGTATTACGCCTAACAGTTTCGTCCTGGTAATTGTGATTGCACGCTATTCCAAGTCCGATAATTAACTTTATCTCTGGTATAATTGGTATCGTTAAAATTTTAATTCTATCCAAACTTAACCGAACATCTATTTAATTTGATCAAAAATAAAATACTATCAACACAATAATGGCATTCAGCTTTTTGAACGATCTTTTTGTTTAAGAATTATACAGAATATACAGGTGTCTGGTAAAAAATCTCTTTTTTTTAAGGTCTCGAATCGATCCGGATAACGGTGCCAATTTCAGTGTCCTCGTAATCGGTCAAAGTCCAATTTTAAATCGTCTCACAGAATCTATTTTAAAACGAACTTCACCAGGAACGAGTATCATTGTAATGAACGTTTTTCCATCAGAAATCTTTTCCTTTCGATCTTGATGGATCAAACGAGGCAATTTCTAAAAAAGATTTCTTGAAAATGGTTTAAAATTTCTTTGAAAACGTAAAATAAACCATTAATTCAATGATTTCATTGAAACGCAAATATCAACAGAAATTTCCACCCACATATATCAAATATCATGCAGCGCATGTAGATAGATATTTAATATTAGGATCGAACTGCATTATAGTCCGTTCATTTTAATCAGGGCATTTGCTAAACGTCTACCAATCAATTATTCATTACTAAACATTAATTAATTACTGACGAGTTATTACGGATCGTTAACTGCTTTATATTTAAATAAAAATAAAATGTTTTGAATTAATATCTTATATGATGATATAGGTTAACGGTTTTGATTTCGAGGCCAGAACATACATTTTGTAAAAACAAGTAATAAATTCATATTTTCCAATGGAAAAGAACTTAAATATTATTTATATATCAATTACGTTTAATTCCGGTATATTAGTTACACTAGGACAACAAAAACGAGTGAAATAATAACAATAAAAAATAATTTGTTGCAACCTTGTAATGAAGACTAATAGAAGACTAAACTTTTTTTATTAATTAAACAATTAACTAACAATATACTGTACTTAAAATATTCTATTATTCGTCTTTAAATCTTTCTCCCACACAAATCCAACGTAAAATTTCGTGTTCTATCACGTAATCGTGCATTAATTAAAGGTCGATCAGGTTCGATGTAGCATACTTAATTAGGTAAAAACCGAAACACGTGGGACGTATAAATTTATTTATACAAAAATAATCATTCGTTCGGTTCAACTGTTTTACTAATTTTGTTCGAATAGTTTAATCCGAAATAAAATCAATTTGAATCCGAAAATAAATACCAGAAATAGAAAACAAGACTAAAAAGAGATAATTAAAAAACAAGTGTTTTTTTTAATAAAAAATATATGTACAAGTCAATGCAACCGGAAGTGGAGACAAATATTCTCATTAACCGGTTATTATTAACTGCACCTAGTAAACTGAATCTCGTTATGATTTCGTGGAAACGATCTTTTTCACGTACGGCTTTAATTTAAAACTTGGATGTTAAATTAATTGCCGGTTCGTTGAGTAAGATATGACAAGAAAATAATGAAAAATAACGTAATAATAACGCAATAATAACGCCGCGTTTCCGCACAGGAAAAGTATTCAAATAATCAGACGTTTTCGAGTTAGTTCCGGACTTGGCTCAATTTACCAGACGAAGCGTTTTCTTGAAACGAAGCTACTTCGTTAGTCCCTTGGCTATCGACCATCTCGAAACCACTTTTGGGTTGGCCACAAATTCTCAAATATAAGGGTCTAATCAAAGAAAATGTGATAACAACAAGATCGTTTTGTTTTGGCAAACATATTTTATTTTGTTATCGAATCAAATTGAAATTGATTTTTTATATATAAATTTTTTATTTATTGCAATTTTAACTTGATCAAATTTGTAATAGATGACTAAGTTCAGGTCGATATAATGATAATTAATGCGCCTCGATTGCCAGTGACCTCGCCTTAATTAGTCAAAAGATCTACAATTTCCTCTGATATAGCCAAGGCGCCACAATATGATGACAAGTTTCGGGTTAATATAATATTAATTACTGAGCCTCATAACTCATAACAAAAATAACCAATTTTTGATACTTTACCTATGATTTTGATAAATTTGGTATTATATTGAAAGCAGCCACAAATAGATATAGGGACGGTTTTAATTAAGTTGTAGAGAATTACATAGCGAAAAGGTAATTATAATCCGATAATCCGGCACCATAAAACTTTTAACACTGCCGGATTAGCTAATGTGCCGGATTACTGGGTTTGAATGCAAACAAAAATTCTATACGAGAAAACATAAACAAAATTAAATAGAAATGTGGAATCAAGAAAAAGAATTCCATGAGCAACTGTAACTACGGTAGAAAAGGAAATTCAATGAAAATTATGTATATTTCAATAAAAAATAGATATTTGCACGAACTAGCAAGAAATTTTCCGTTTAGACAACAATAGGTTTATTATCATTACAACTTCGCATTTTCAACGCATAAATATTTTGATTCAATTAAATTTGAATTCTTAAATATGTTGCTTTTTGAATTTTTATTTTCTAGGAGGAAATTGATAAAGTTGGAATAGTTTTATTAAGTATTCGCCTAAAGCGCGCAATTATCTAGTAACGTTACCACTACCCCCGGAAGTAAAAAAAGTTAAAACCGAAACTAATTAAAAAATAAAAATAGCTCTTTTTGCTTAATTATAAAAGCGAAAGATATTTTTCTCCAGTAACTAAGTATACATAATCGTAAACATAAACTAAGATAATCTCTCAATGATGAATTTCAAATTAGTATCAAGCTAAGTTTATTTGCATAAATGCAACTCATAAAGTTTTGACAGAGCTTTAGGATTAGAATTCGAAACGGACGCAACTGTTTAATGTTAGCTCAAATTAACATTATGACAGGATTTAATACTTAAATGAAAGATTGAACTGTCTTTAAAAAACTTTATGTCGCTGTACAAAGTTTTTTATCTGTAAAAATGTGGTAATTAAAGTTGAAAAACTTTCAGCAAGTGATGAAACTTCTAGGATAACTAGACAGAGAAAATATCTTGACGCTTACAAACTAAAAATTATTATAAAAACTTCCAACGATATGCTGTGACATTACCAAACTCGACTATAAAGTGATTTTTAATTTTTTTTGAACCATTTTATACTAGAAAAATATCATTTTTCATAAACAGATTAAAATGATTTTGATTCTAAAATTAAAATAAAATTTTGAAAAATTTTACTATCAATTCAAAAAATGTTAACTTACGACCTACATAGTAAAAGAAGGCTTTATCCGTTACGTTTCTATTAAGTGTTCTGAATTATCCTTAGAATTTGAATAATGCACTTAGTCTTTGCGGAAGAAACGAAAAGAGAGTTCGATTGGACACGAAAGAAGTTATGAACAAGAGCTTCCTATACTTTCGCAACGAATTCAAATAAATTCATCGAAAATTCAAATTTTCGCGTTTTCAGTCATCTATTAAGCGGTATTCCGGTGTTTTGTAAAAGACGCGTTGAGATTATTACGTTTAAAACATATTTCCAGGAAACTTTCGACATTGATATCAAAAAAAAAGAAGCTTAAAATAGAATATTCTATATGAATTGAGTGGGAAATATAGTTTGAAAAGCAAATCTCTGCAATTTCATCCCAGTAGTGTACAGGAGGATTATTTTAATGTATTCCTCCTTTTGAAGCTGTAAAAGAGCTGCGCGATTTAATACTGTATCGTGTTATATAGAAGTTTTATTTGAACAGTCTTATAGTGCTATCATGCAAGTAAATTTCTCTGAATATATCAGTATTGAGATTGTTTGGTTAATTAATTTAAATCAAATTAAATATCGAATAAAACTTGTGCTCTAATAATAATTGCAACAATCATTTTAAAGAATAGTACTCTTGAGCGTATGGACAAAGAAACGGTCCCAGTGCAATATCGTTTCAATTGAATCGAAAATCTTGTACACTCACCGAAGTGTTTTCTATCGAGACAATTTTAGATTAGTTTACCTTGAGAATGCGTTGTAAATTGTTTCGAAAATCTTCTGGTACACATTCCGTGAAAGATTGAATTTTAAAGAAAACTAACAGAATGAACCCAAAATAAACACGATTTTTTTATTTTTAAAATAATTTTAAATAACTTTTCGTAAATATTTTTAAAATAGAAGGTTGATATTATCATATAAACTATAAACGCCTCGTAAACTCATTTTTATATTACCTTCTGTGTCATCTCGAAATGAAAAAATAGGCAAAAAATAGATATTAAATGTTTTTGTTTATGATTTTATGAACTTTGTTAGCAATTAACTAATAAATAAAATTTTTAATATTTTAAATTGTATAAAATACCGTGAAATTATCAAGCGTTATCTCCGGTTAATTTTACTAAATAAGTGTGAACAATTTTTTTGTCACTATATTTTTTTTGTATCATTGCAATTAATGGGAAAATCATTTTCTCGAACTTCACAATTATCATTCGATTGAAAACTGTTAAAAATACTAATCGTCGGTTTAGACGTTAAAACGTTAATAATACTTTTTTACAACTTATTAAAGATCTTTTTAAAAAGTGTATTTTTGTTGCAGCTTTCTTTAATATAAATTATATCTTATCAATCAACCCTTTTTTAATATAAAGAAACATCTGGTATAGGTACCCACTTTACATTACATCTCCAAGTCTAACGTAATGAAGTTCAAGTCTACGTTAAACGACAATTTTCATGTCGAGGTAGCCAATTTGCGATACTAATAAGGAACGAGCTATTCGCTTAAAGACTTTAAGGTAAATTTAAAGGTACTACACTATGTACCATTTTTACTCAACGTAACCATCTTTAATTTTACTTATAATAATAGCTTCCTTAATTTGTTTCTATAAAATCAGAGTTTTGTATTTTGGCTTATTAAATCTAATTGGCTCAAATAAATGTCGATTGATATACATTGTTATAAAGAAGAAATTTCAAATTTTCATTTAAGTTGGCTTTTATAAATAAAGTTTCAGCGATTTTTTGAATTTGACAATTTTTTACTAATAGCAAAATAACATAAGCATCAGACTTTTCAATTTTGACCCATTCCATCTAACCTATCCAAGTGTCAATTGATATTCATCGTTATAAAGAAGAGACTTTAAGCTTTCATTTAAGCATATACACATCTCTTAGTTTTGATAATTAAAGCTTCGGTGATTTTTTGAAATTGAACCATCTTTTACTAATACCGAAATAACACCAACCTCACAGTTTTGTATTTTGGCTCATTCCATCTAACTTGTTCAAACAAGTATCGATTGGTATACATTGTTATAAAGAAGAGGCATCAAGCTTGAGTGCGGGAAGTTACAAATTTATAATATGGAATTGAAAATAGAAAAACTATGGTCACACTAGACATTTTGGCTGCCAAACCTATTTTTAGTTATACCTTCGTAATGCTGTATCCTATAATTTTGATTTTCTAGAACAATAACCAGAACAACAAAGAAAATCTGATTTTTCCAAAAATGGAGGGATAGCCAAAAACCTGTTTTTTCGATTTTTCTCACCGAGTTTTTATTTTTCTAGTCAATTCTAGGCCCAGCAATATATTAAGTAGTTTTGGGTTGATGTAGCATAATTATAGTGTCGCTCAGTAACAAAAAATGTTTTCGCTGGAGTACTACAAGGCAGTACTAGATGCTCAAAATCTAAAGCAAATTCAGGTTTTACGAAACAAGATATTACTCATAACAGCAAACTCTGAGTGGTACATTTCTAATCCTTCGTCATTATTACTTCAATGACATCTCGGTTTCACGAACGCATACAATAAAGTAAATAGGCGACTGAAAAGGAAGCTATAGCAAAACAACTACCTGAATTAAAAATAAGAAATTGAAGTAAAGATTATTATTTTGTAAGCAACTAGGTCCTTTCGAGACGCAATTTACTATATAATATTATAGTAATAAGTCTTCATATATCTCCTCGTTGACAGAACTCCCATAAATAACAATGACACTACGTTCATGGAACCTTCTAAAATAAGAATATTAAAGTATTTATTTTGTAAACTGTAAGTTTTGTATATCGGAGACGACCAAACTTCGATTTAAAAGTACTGGCCGTTATAAATCTCATTTCTCGAATAAAAATTATTATCACCGAATGTCATCTATCCCGGTTTGCTCGGACTTTTTAATATAACTTTGTTTCGACTTTATAATAAGATCCTTAATACCAAAAGATCAATTTTAAACCCATTTGTAAGACTTGTACCTACTTCTCTGCAACGTAATACCATTGCGAACAATTTTAACACTAAAGTCATAGAACGTAATCTTCTTACTGCCAAGATGGAAAACTTGAATTAGCTTTAGTTAGAAAGTTAAATGAATATTCTAGAAATTTAATATTCAAATTATATTATTAGTTATACATTTATGTATTTCGATAAATACATTTCTATATATTGGAATTGGACCGCATTTTATCACAGAACACTGATGACTGCTATCATAAGCACAGAAGCCGCTTGGTCACTCGTTACGTTTTACGATTATACAGGGTGTTTCAATAAATTTAATCACTAAAACTAGAGACAAAATGATGACGATTCGTGTAAAAATTTTTGAAGAAAATAATCTAGAGTTTGATTTTGTACTTTTATTTAAACTGGTTTTTATTTTATATAGAATTTAAGTCTAACCAGTTTCGGCCCTTGGCCATCAAATTTTATATAGACTGAAATTCTATATAAAATAAAAGACAAACTTTTAATTTTATACTAACATCCAGAAAACAACACTCGTCCGAAATTGTAGGTTCATCAATTTTTGCTATTGTAGAATTTCTTGGCGTATCTAAGTCGGTTTTTAGACATATGATGCAAATCCGACTTGAAATCGTATAACGTGATTAGCGCTTAGCTTTATCCTTTAAAACAAATAGTATTTTAGGTCTTTCGGTATTCTGCATTTTTTCTAAGATAAGTTACACCTTTACCTACCAGACAGCATTAAAATCTCTAAAAACGATAAAATGTCGCTTAGTCATGTGATGTATAACGCGGTCCAATTGATCAACGAAATTAAACTTAACTTACCTAACATTTTGATAACTTTCTTTTGTCCGGCTGAACTTTTATTACTTCTTGTAATTCTTCGGTGATTATGTCCATCACTTGTTGAATGTTGTGTAGATAATAATAATCGTGATTTACGTAATTTAATAGCTATTAATACATAAAGTACGGTGATTAAAGTCATCGGGCCCATGAAGAAGACGAAAGCTGATATTTCAAATGAATGTTGAAACAAACCTTCTTGCACGACAGAACATCCACTCGTTCCATCAGATTCATATTGAACTCCGAATTGCATTGCTTGAGGAATGGCTAATGATAAAGCAACTAGCCAAATTGCGACGATAAATTTGATGATTCTTGACAACTTTGCTATGGTCTGCGATAAAAATGGATGACATATGGCGACGTATCTTTCAACGGTAAAAGCTGTTATGGTTAGAACGGTTGCGTTTGCTGAAGTTTCGGCGGCAAATCCTTGTATAACACAAAAAGCTTGCCCAAAAATGTATTCGTTCGGTGACCAAATTCGATACATTTCCGGGGGAAGTCCGGATATTAGTAATAGCAAATCGGATATTGCTAAACTAAATAAATAATAATTCGTAGCTGTGTGCATTGATTTGTTTCTAGAGATCACTATACACGTACTTATATTTCCTAATAAGCCGGCAATAAAAATTATCGCGTAAACCACCGTTATCGGTATTGCCCATTCCATGGGATACATATTGTTCGTAAAAGAAGAGTCATTACGAGGGGTTAAATCATCAAAAACTTCAGATTCATTCATTTTTATTTGTAGTTTTTAATTTATTTCACTTCACACACATGACGAAAAGACAAGTTCGAATCTTAACCGGTCGATTTGAACAGTGTGAAAGCACGAGGTACACTGAAACTCGACTGCGCCGCCGAAACTGTTTTACTGGAATCCCCACCTTTTACAAAAATAAATACAATGTGTTAAAAATTAATTAAAAACGCTTTTAAATCAACGATTTTTTACTTAAATTAGGTGATATCGTTTTATAAAACATTTTTCTCTATTTTAACTGCATTGAGTTAAAGCTTTCTTTCGTGAAAACTGACACTATAAAGAAACATCTACCTTCAGCTTCTTGCCTGCCATAATTGAATCATATGGACCTATTTAGAAAGCAAATTTATATGAAAATCAAACTGATGGCCTATAAATTTCCTTAGTTTTCCATTACCATAATTGAATTAAATTGAAAAAATAATTTGCAATGAGTATTTATTGTTAATTTATTAATGAAATCCAATGAACTTTACTTTGAAGTTGATGATTACAAATTGTATTTATTTTGCAGTTACACTTTACCACATCCAATTTAATACCGGGTCGCGTAATACATTTGCGTAGAAAATACGGCTGTCACAACTGTTATAAATCAAAACGGTTGCAAATTAAGCGCCAAAAACTGAAACGTATTCGAGATGTACCGGGTGTATAAATGCACGGATTTAAAAAGATTTGGAATTTTTTTTTTGATAAAAAGGGTTTCGCTGCGATACGAATTTAGCAGAGGAAATTAATTAACGTTTATTTGAAAGGGTTTTGAAAGAATTAAGGTTTATTTATCTACGTAGTTATAAATTCAGAAATAGATCTAAAGAAGTTTTCGAAAAAAAATTATATTTATGATAATTACATTACATATTTTGTTTTAATTACATCATTATTTATTATGTATTAAAACCAACAATTTCATTTTAATTAAACCAAATCAACGAATTATTTCCGATATTTCTATTTAAACAAAAGGATTAATAATTACTGTATTGTAAAACCTTAACATAATGAGCTTCGTTAGGGATTTACGGACAAAATATTTTTAAATCATATTATTAATATGAGACAGTTTAGGAAAGTGATCCTAAAACGCCTCCCACTCCAGTCTCAATATTCAATGAATTAAATCGTCGTACGCTTATCAAGGCATTCGTTTAGTGTGGGTGTGGAGGGCAAACGTTTCTTAAACTGTCCGGGCTCTGAATATGAGAGAAATGTAACTTTGAGTGGACCACCTAAGGATAAGTTCGAAAAAACGTTTTGTGTGTCTTCGATTTCTTATTTGGAAGAAAAAAAATTCTATCTTTCTAAAAAAATCAAATTCTGGATGAAAATGTTCGAAAAATGTGGAAAAAGCAATACAAATTTAAAGAACAACAAAAGTTATTGAAGATTCTTTAAGATAAATGATTTCTCTCATATACATAACCAAAATTTATGCTTATACAGCATTAGAATCTGTAGTGTTTTATAATAAATATTATTTTGGGTTAAGAATAGCGTAGGCACGTGTAGCGCAACATGTTTCGTAAAAGAACAAGAAAACGGGTATTCATTAAAGTTGTAGTACAGGATTTACCTTTTCATTTCCGTTCTTTTCTATATCCTCATTTTGAATTGCATTTCTTCTATCCTTTGCTCTTGTATTATGAGGTTTCCCTTCTTGTTCTTCCTCTTCATCATTACTATCATCTACATTGAGTTTTCGTCTTGGTAATTTTGTTTTTTTTTTCCAGATGATTACGTAAACAAGATATTCTACAACACCCTTGGGTGGGTCTTTATTTTTAAAACATGTTTCCATCAAATTGGGATATCATCCATATACTTTGACTTCGATGTTTGAACGGCTGCTGGATTTTTAACTTTTTCCCATGGTAAAGTACAACCAAGCCATTGTATTATATTGTATCCTAAAACTTCTAAATCTCCTCTGCGAGTTTGTACGCCATCATGACCATCACGACTTACATACTCAAGAGTACCATCATGAGGTTTTTTCGGATCTCTCTTAAATTTTGTTCCAGTAAAGTAACGGCCGGTTAACCCATAATCCATAAGATAAATTTGTTTTTTAGCTTTTAAGTCTAACAAAATATTCGCTCCTTTTATATCACGATGAACATAACCTCTACTGTGTATATATTCCAAGACATCAAGACATTTGTAATGCAACTTTAAAAGCAGTAACAACAGGAAATTCGTTCTTACAATATAAAAATAACTTCGAAATGTCGTCTCCAAACCGTTCCAGCACGAGGAAACGATACTTTTCCTTGTTATTTGTATGAGACCCTGAACTAATGTAGCGCGGCATACCCAAAGATTTTAATTTATTCTCCTTCATGAACGCAGATATATCATCTTGTTTAGCGTTTCTCATCAAGAAATTCATTTCCACAAATAATGGACCATTTCCGTGTGGTTCAATTTTTAGAACATGAGGAAATTCGGTGTTGTTGTTAGATTCGTCTAACTCTTGAGCTAGATAAATGAGTCCGAATCCTCCTTTTCTAATTGGATTTCCAAGTTTCCATTTCTTTTTGTGAACATCTTCCAAAACTTCTCCAGAACGTATGTGATCTTGCAATTGATCATTTGCAGGTTTTTTTAGGGAGCGGAGCGGGTTGGGTTGGGTTGGATTGGATTGGATTGGGTTGGATTGGGTTGGGTTGGGTTATCGTTGAGTTAGCGTTGGGTTTCGTGCCGCCGAAACGTTTAATTTACGAATAAATTTTTATTTTAGTTCTTTTTTCTTATAATTAAGAGTGGAGGTGTGTAGTGTTTTGTAATAGATATTATTTAGGTTAAGAATAGCGCAGGCGCGTGAAGTATTCATTAAAGTGTAGTACGTAAAAGCAACAATGTCTTTAAATTGTCACTGCCTTTTAGTGATGGAACGGATAGTGATTTTGCAAAAAACCGGATATTCGGCATCCCCTTCGGCCGCATATACGGCATATCTATCCGGCCATTATGGTTATAATTTCTGGTACATTTTTGAAGTGATACCCTACATTGCCTCATTATTGCGATATTTGAATAAAAATGAAATTAATAAGAAAGCTGATAAGATATGTCAACTTATTTGGATCCAAGATACAAAATGATCTTTTTTGATGCTGATTTAACTAACGAAGCAACTCTAAAAAGAGGATACTTTAACTAATAATTGGCGATATTCGAAAATTTGATGAAATTTGAAATTTCAATTTTGTCGAATTCTTTCTTTTGTTTTGTTTGCGATTTCGTTTTTTTCTTCAACCTTTTTTATCTGTTCAGATGGCGTATGTTGTTTCACCGATGGCTTTCCACCTCTCTTTGTAACTTTCGCTTCTTTTGCTTTGCTTATCTCATCGCTTTTCTCTAGCTCTCGCTTTAGTTCTAGTTTTAATTGTGATTCATCGACATTAAATCTAGAACTTACTTTCTCGTATTATATCGAGATTTTACTGTAATAGAAACATTTAATGCATCGACAAATTCGAATTTTACATTTAAAAAGTATCCTCTTAGGTTTTAATGATACCACGACGACCCTTCTCTTTTTAGTATAACAAAACGTCAATACTCTTTCCAGACCCTCAGAGAAAAACGACTCTCGAAAACTGGAACTGGAATCTTGTATTCCCTTTTTTATTAATTCCCTCTTTCCGACTGCAGACCACATCTGTTGACGTCTGCCCTCGAACTTAAACCCCCGTGAATGGGGTTGGAACGAAAATTGAACAAAAGTAAATGAATGATGAAGAGAAGAAACGTGTTTCTTGTTCGTAATTTAACCGTTCCATTTGCATAAAAGCTTGCCATTAATTAATAACAAAAAAAGTTATCAAAAAAGAATACTTTTATGAAGGATTGATTGAATGGATAAAGAATTATTGATTAAACGAAATCTATTGTATCCCAACGTTATGACTGTTTCGTTAATTGACTAAAATTTCCGAAAATGAAAGTAAATTGAACTCAAGATTCAGTTTATGGGAATTCGATTACACCATTTAGTTTGCCCTTTAACTTAACGCCCGCGCAAGTGGACAGAGGTTGTTTGTTGATGATTGAATCGTGTAGTATTTCGACGTTTCGAATTTCTCTAGATATAAAAACTTAACAAAAAAACAACCATTTTTTTCATTTAATTCTTATAATTATTCCGATACAATTATCATTCGTTAATTGATATCGATGTAATATCAACACCAATCAAACTAAATCACGCAGAGAATATTATTTCGCCATTAATTTCTATTTAATATCAATTCAAAATCGTGCTGTGTACGTTCCAACGATTTCAATGTCGAATTGATGTTTTTATTTACTACATACACGAGCATTTGAATTATTATTTAATGCACCTTGTATTAAACAATTACAAGGTGCATCAAATTCAATTGCTTTGGTTTAAGAGCAAACCCATTAAGATCCAAAGTACTTCATTACAGTAAACAATAAACAAGATAATCAATGTTAAGCTTCCTCATTTATACAATATATAACATTTAACATTAAAACATAATCTTGTATATTTGAAACGAATTAATTGCTTTAATCGTATTAACGTATCGCAATCAAAAGGAATGTTGGAGGTTCGGTTGTAAATCTCCTTTGGGGATGAGACGAATAACAACCTGAATCCTGGAATTATGTAATTTTCCAGGTAAGTTCTCTCTGTTAAATTACAGTTGGAGTGTACCCGAAATCCTAATACAAATCCCCAGCGAAATATGCCAAACACAGCATCTCCTAATAAAAACTTTATGGTATTTTACAATTTCGAATACTTGTTTTTGTCAATACTAACATCCAATAAAATTATTTCGTATACTACATTTAAGGGGAAAAACTTTCGAAATTGGATAATATAAGAGACCACAAATCCAACTTACCATCGTCAACAAACTATAAACTTCGCAGGGAAGTTAATCGACAGTCGAATTGAATTGTGTTCGTGCCAAATGCACTAAACACCCGATCGAAGGTACGAAGTATTAAGTAAATAAACAAATGTTGAGTTGGGAGAATTGTCTTTGACAACGATAACAATCGAAACTATACGGAAATTTGGAATCCTAAATTTGGAAGAGTATGTCAGATGTTATATGAATACTTTGACCGCAAGTAATTACTTCATTTTATTAAACAGTGTTAGCTATCTCCGAAGCTAATAGAGATAAAAAAAGTTACTTACAGTCATGATCTCGTTTTTCGAGAAACTTCTAATGTTGAAAACTGAAAACAGCTAGAACTGTCTAAAACGATTGTATGTATTTAGAACTTAACGTTGCTATGGTGATAACCATACTATGATGTAAACTAATGTTCTTAAGTCATTACATTTTTAGGTAGTAGGCTTAGGTCGTTGTTAAATTGTTCCAAAGTACGAAACGGCAAAGTATAACAAAACTGATAATGAATTTCGAAAATTATGAAAAATTAAGTAAAAATTATAATCTCTATTCGATGCACATACATAAGAAATTACAACATGTCATAATGTCACCTAATTAGAATGTGGTATTGACATGCAAAACAAAAACAAGAAAAAAGAAATTCGTCGACTAATTGTGGATATCTGAATTTTTCGTGAGCTTGATCAACTTCTTCTTAGTTGCTTTAATGCAGCTAAATATGTACACAGACGGTATAGTGAGAATTTTGTGTATTGCAAAATGTTCTCTGCAACTATCTCTACTCTTTAGATTGAGAAGTGCTTGAATTGCCCTCTTTTGTAATAGAAAAATTCACTCTGCTGCTGAAGACATGCCCCAGAACAGAATGCCATACGTTGCTACGCTGTGGAAACTAGCATAATATGTGAGTTTAGCCGCTTCTATGGTACTGATAATTCTCATTCTCTGTACACAGTAAATTGCCATTTAGCTTCTTGGCAGTATTATCTACATATATGGGTGTACCATTTGAATTCCTCGTCTAGATACAGACCTAAAAATGTTAGGGATTTATTTTCAGTATGTATTCGAATGTATTATCACTATAGCAACGTTAACTTTTAAATAAATACAGTGCATCCGTAAAGTAGCGGATATAGACGATAAAATCAATATACACAGTTTATGGAAAAATCTCTGAAACGGGTCTAAAGATATACACTTTTTTCTTAATGTAGTATATTCAATGTTAATATTGGTTACATAAGAAAATTTTCGAGAGAAATTACTTAAAAGTGTAACTACTTCAAATTTGCTTGACATGATAAAAATAGCAGTAGCCATGAGTTGCTATGGTAACCAATTATTTGAAACAGTTTCGTAAGTATCAAAAACTGATTTAGTAAGTAATTAACCTTTTTAATGCAACATATCCTGATCGCTAACTCATTAGCCAGAGTATGGTGAGCCTAGCTGTGACTAAATTTAAAAAGCATGGGCAAAAATGTTTCAGGGGACATTCAACAAAACGTGATTTTGGCTGAGCAAAAAACTTTCATGTTACTGTAAAGCAGTCTCTCCCAAAGTGGGCTATATTTTTCCCATCACCTATGCTAATAGCAGCAAAGTGAATATTACAGCATGAAACAGTATAATACCATTGGTGGAGAACTTGCGATCTTAATGTCCTATACTCAGGCTTTTTAAATTTCTCATGCGGTGTACTTAAAATGTACTTTAAAAGCTTCTAAAAAGCTCCTAACATAATTTTATTGTCCTTTCATTTGATGCGTTATACGTCCGATGTCTACATGGACGCACAAAATTAAATAATTAGTTTTCCCATCACCTATGCGAATAGCAGCAAAAATTAATATGATTACAACATGAAACAGTATAATACCATTGGTGGAGAACTTGCGATCTTAATGTCATATACAGGCTTTTTAAATTTCTCATGCGGCGTACTTAAAATTTACTTTAAAAGCTTCTAAAAAGCTCCTATCATAATTTTATTGTCCTTTCATTTGATGTGTTATACATCCGATGTCTACATGGACGCACAAAATTAAATAATTAGTTTTTCCATCACCTACGCCAGCCTTTCTCAAAGTGGGCTTTCCCCCTTGCGATAAGGCTTACAGGGGGGCGGTAGACGAATCGACATTAGTGTCATTTCTGTTTATTCTGTGATTTAGGGTTCATAGTGAAATTTACTGTATGCAAAATTTTATAAAAACTCAGTTACGCCATCTATAAATGAAATAGTTAAACATTAATAATTTTTAATGTTTCTTTTACAGCGTTCTTCTTCAATTATTTTGGTTTAATTCTCAACTAAAGATCAACAATTTTTTTATAAAAATGTTTAAAAAATATTTTTTTAATTTAAAAAAATATCTAATATACCATTTTAAATTCGTTTTTCTATTAATTGTTAATTTTAGCGATAATTAAACGTTTATTGTGTTCGTTTTAATTCGGTTAACTTTTCCAACGCACCAACGAAACGCAACGGTCGGAGTTTTCCACCGAAACGAAGCTCTCCAGTACCTTTTCTGCGATACTTGCGCGTGGTGGTCGCGAAAATTGTCCTTTTAAAACTATTTTACTCAAATCCGATATTAAAAGTCAACCGGATTTTATTTATTTTTTATTAGAAATCGAAAAACTTTAATTTATAATTTCATAAAAGGATATTTTTGTAATAACATTAATTTTTACAGTGCATCAAAATTAAAAAGAAACAAGTTTCAGGTACTACATTTAAATTTTTTTTAATTGCAAATTAATTCAAATAATTAAAACAACTTTATTATTAAACAATTTTGATTATATTTTTTTCGTTTTGAAATTAGGAACACAATCGATCGTAATTTCGCGTTATCGTACGTGATTATAATTTGAATTATTGATGTGAAAACAATTTGTTAGTTAATGATCTTTTCGCCTTGATTTCCTTTAAAATTAAATCTTTAATTAAATAAGAAAATTTTTCGCCTAGATAGCCCGGAGAGTAATAGATGTCGAGATGAAGCCTTGAACTCTCTTAAAATAAAATGTGCAGGTTTCACTTTTCCTGCCAACGGATGCATTGCATACTTTTACGTAACAAAAACTAAATGGAACATGATACTACTTAGCTTCCTTTAAATCAAATCAATCAAATAAAATAATAAATATTAATGTAAAACTCCTAATTGTTTCGATCTTGGCCCTAAATAAGCGATGATACGGTTAATTAAGAGTACTTTGCTCCGGTCACGATTAAGTGGTTCCAATTTGACGATATTAGATGGTTGTTGGAAGAAATATTTTTTAAAAATTTAATCAAAAAATATAAATTATGCAAAAATAAATACCCATTTCCAGGTATGATTATTGTCGCGCCAGAAATGATGTAACTAACTCAACTGTGGTCGCTTAGGTCATGGGTTGTTGTGTAAAAAGAACGCGTATTATTATTACAACGTAGTGAGTCATTAAAAACAATCGTCATTTTTAACAAGGTTTCTTTACACCAATAGTTTTTTGAAATTCCGAACCTGTTGATAAGAATTTATATTTAAACGTAAGTTCATATAATAATTAATATTTTTGATTTTATAGAAAGTCTATTATAAGAAGTAAAAATGACCGAGGATGAAGACATTAAAATGATTAAATATAAAAAAGAAAATGAATGTTATGGAAATACTTGTAACAATGAATTTGTGTCAAGAATTAGATGGCCTGATTTGCTAGTTCAAATTTTTATCCATGTTGGGTGTTTGTATGGATTGTATTTGTGTATTGTAGCCGCTAGATTTTATACTGTGATGTTCGGTAAGTTTTTAAACCCCTCCCCATATTCATCAAATAAATATAAATCACGATTGGAAAATGGAAGAAAAACAAGTCACGCAACGTGTACTAATTAAAATTATTTATTCAAAAGCACTAATGATACGAAACACAACGGAAAATTGTTTCTAGAAATTTCCTTAATTAATACCACGACAATATTAAACGGATATTTTCATTTCTTTAAAAGGGTTCATTAACGAAAGTATTTACAAACAGAAAACTTATTATCACCCACATTTCATCCAACCCCTCGTCAAAATCAATATTCCGACACAATTTTCCACTTCTTCTTTTTTTGTACGTCCTTAATACACACCGAGTGGTTTTTGTTATGTTGTTCATTAAAACGTAAACGGGGTCGTAAAAAGTGCACGCATACATCGACCGTTTTTTTATTAACTACAATTAAAAACATTTTAATGCTGAATAACAACTAAAACTTACACTATCCTGGTCACCACTTCAACTTCACTGGAAGTAGTCATATCATATCATAAACAAAAACCTTTAACCTTCAATTTAACATACATATCATATCATTATCCTTAAAAATACAATCGCTATGATTTTTTGAAAATTTCATATCATTTTTGATTTATAAATTTGACAATTTCTTCTTTAATAATTTTGTCCTGGGCATTTCAATAATATTATCTTATATCATAAACTAGAATCTTTAAGCTAGACTAATAACATATGAATGTGATTGATTGACCACCCTGTATTATTGATTAATGTAGATTGACCAATATAACTAATTACGTTCTATTTATGAACATTACTACGTCTCTTAAGACGTCTAAACTTGAATGTTTCTAGTTCTGCAAAAGTATAGAATAGAGCTAGTAAATACGCCATTTGTGATTTAAATGAAAAATGTTTCAAATAAAAGTTTCCTGGTTAACTATGGCGGATAATCTGGCTATATTTGTGTGCTTGTATTGTTCTTAGTTTGGTAACCAACCGTGCTATGTAACCAATTTTGAGAGCGTTCAAGAACAATCTCAAAATTCCCTCAGAAATCTGAGCCGAGATATGGGAATATCTTTTGCTTTATCATGTGCAAAAACAAGTCCTTTAAACAATTAAACTAAAATTAGAACTAAAACTAGAACTAACACTCCTTTAAACTAAACCTAGAACTAACATTTGCACTAGAATTAACACTAGATCTAAAACTAGGAACATACAGGTTTGGCCGTGTGTCTCTAAACCTGAATATTTCTAGTGTTAGGTTTAATGTTACTTCTAGTTTTAGTTAACTAATAGTAAACCAATTTTCCACTTTTCTTTTTTTTGTCTTTAATAGTAAGCGAGTAATTTTCGTTATGTTGTCCATTAAAACGTAAAAGGGGTCGTAAAAAGTGCACGCACGCATCGATCGCTTTTTCATTACGTTATCGAACCGTTTCCATGAAGGAATTTTAGCTTATCCAACGATATAGACGTCGCAAATATTTACTGACAGCGACCTAAATATCCTTTAGAAACGTTCCTTCTCCTTTTCTCAGCTTAAAAAAGGATGTTTTATCATAATCATGAGAAAGGCAATTTTCTTTAAGTCTTTTTTGTTTTTTTTTTGTAGCTATTTGCACAATTTATACATCCGGTTTTGGTATAACAGCCGGAGTTCATAGGTTATGGTCACATAGGGCTTACAAAGCTAAATGGCCCCTTCGTTTATTGCTAGTCCTTTTATTTACAATAACTGGTCAAGTAAGAATTAAATTAAATTTCTTTTTTGTCTAAAATATTAATTTTACGATTTTTTTAGAGACACGTTTATATCTGGGCTTTAGATCATCGCGTTCACCACAAATACAGCGAAACGGACGCCGATCCTCATAATGCGAAAAGAGGGTTTTTATTTTCGCACGTCGGATGGTTAGTTTTAACTCCTCACCCGGATGTTGTTGCGAAAAGAAAAGTCGTCGATATGAGCGATCTCGAAGAAGACTCAATAGTTATGTGGCAGAAAAAGTAAATACTATAGACCTTCTTAAACATTTATTTATTGATACTTTATTGTTTGGAATCTTAGGTATTATCCAATCTTATTTTTTATCTTCACCATTGCTTTACCAGTTGGTTTACCAATTTATTGTTGGAATGAAACGTTATGGAATTCGTTTTGGATCAATTTTAACTTGCGTTTTTGTATTACGTTAAACATAGCTTTTTTTGTGAATAGTGTGGCTCATATGTGGGGACAAAAACCTTATGATAAGTAAGTACAAGTCTTAGAACTTAATGATTTGATTTGTAGACAACAAATACATTAACAATAATGCATAAAAAAAAAATAATATTTCATAATATTTTAGAAATATAAGTCCAGTTGAAAATTTGGCTGTTTCAATAGCAGCTTTAGGTGAAGGCTGGCATAATTACCATCACGTATTTCCATGGGATTACAAAACGGGTGAACTGGGTGTTAAATATAACCCATCGACGTATTTCATTAATTTTTTTGCTCGGTTGGGATGGGCATACGATTTAAAAAGTGTCTCCCCTGAAATGATTTATAGAAGGGCGACAAAATCGGGCGACGGAAGTTTTATTTGGGGATACGGAGATGGCGATATCGCCAAAGAAGATTTGGAGGAATTAGAAATGATGAATAATAATCATTTGGATTAAAAACGTCGTATTATTGAGATGGTACATACTTTTTAATTGTTGCATCACGTGCCTAAAGTGTAATTAAACTAATTAATAATAACAGTATTTACTTTGTATTTTTGATATAATACGCTAAAGCTTTTTGTAAGTGATTATTAAAGAGAAATGTATTTATTTGTGAATGTGAAATAAATTGTTGAACGTTTTAATTAAATTCTTTTTCTCCTTTTGTTTTTGACCTTTAACTTTTCGTATTTCCATTGAATAGAAATTTTTGCCCTAGAAGTATTTGCTACACAGGATATTTTAATATCATTCTGATTCGTGCAAAGTCAACCTACGCATCAAATTTAAAAAAAAAAATGGAAGATAAAAAATTTTTAAGAAAAGAAAGTGATTGGCCCGTTGTTTTGTTATATTTATATTTGCATTTTTCAATCGTTCTTTGTCCCTTTTTATTAGATGAAGCGATGATTTCTACTTATCTTTTCGGTAAGTCATTTCTTTGATTTCGCTAATTATGATTCAATAATTTTTTTTTAGGGGCCTTATTAACGTTTTTAGGATTACTAGGCACAACTGTAGGCGCCCACAGATTATGGGCTCATAAAACGTTCGTTGCAAACAAAAAATTTAAAATTTTCCTCATGATTTGTCACACAATAAGTGGACAAGGAACCATTTATAACTGGGTTTTACAACATCGCCTTCACCACAAATATTTCAACACCCATTTAGATCCTTTTAATAACACTAAAAGTTTTTTACATCTTCAAACTGTTACGCGAACTTTAAAACCGGCGGGTGGTTATGAAACGATTAAATCTGAAGTTGAAACTGAAGATTTAGACAACGATTGCGTCGTTATGTTCCAAAAAAAATATTATTGGATTATGTATCCGATTTTGGCGCTTTTATTGCCGATTAATGCGCCGGCTGAGTATTGGGGCGAAGGATTAATAAATAGCTTTATTATTATTGGGGTTATTAGATACTTAATTGGTTGCCATTTGAGTTCGTTCATCGAAACTAGCGCTAAATTAAATATTTGTGAACCTATTGAAAAGTAAAATTGATCACTTTGTTAATTTAGCTCTACATTAAAAGTTTTTTTGTTTCCAGGAATAATGATAAAGCGTTATTAAACATTATTGAGAATCATAAATGGGCTACATATCACTATTTAGCACCTTGGGATTACCAAAGTGGCGAATTTGGTTATTATGGAAACGATATTTTTTCGAAATGTATCAGGGTTTGTGAAAATTTCGGTTTAGCAGAAGGTTTAAAAACATTAGACCGAAAAACCATCGGTCAAGCTTTACAAATCGCCAAAGAAACCAATAAACCAGTCGCCGAGTGTTTAATGGATTCGCAATTCATCGATGTTAAACATTCACAATTTAGGCGATCTCATTAGAAAAAATTTCACTCTTGCTTTATCGAATGGGGAATAATAAAAATATTTCATAGAAAATACCAATCGTTTTATTTTTATATCTGTTATTATAATTCAATGGTGATTAAACTATTTAAAGAACTGAAAATGCTTATAGACGGTCTAATTAATTGTTACAACATACAGGGTGATTCACATAAGAACCGACACAAAGCAGGGACATGGAGAAGACAATAAATTAAGATGATTTAACGCAACTTATCTCTGTACTAAGTTGTACCCCTGAGGAGTTATAGACCTTCAAAGTTGGGTCTTAAATTTTTAAAACACTCAATATCTTCATAATACATTAAGCTAGATAAACCAAATTTGGTATACGTTATGAGTGCACCGAGGGTATTAATTGGTAGCAAGTTGAGACCAATTGAGGCATTTCAAAGGGTTGATTAAGGGTAAAAAATTTTGACAGATTTTTTAAGCTTTTGGTGGATTTAATACATTATTACCTCATTTGTAGGTTATAAAGTTATTAACCTATTTGTCAAGTTTGACGTACAATTTCATAGCCAACTACTGAATTTTCGCTTATTTTAAGTAACTTTTCGAAATACGAGGCTTTAGTTATTTAAGTTTTTTATGAAAACGACAAAGTTTTTTAAAAAATAATAAGAGTAAGAAAAGTTTTAGAATTAAATTCCACATGAAATGAAATAGTAATGTATTAAATCCGCCAAAAGGTTAAGAAAATCTGTCAAAATTTAGGGTACCATCCCTAAATTAACCCTTTGAAATGCCTCAATTGAGTTCAATTTGCTACCAATTAATACCCTTGGTACACAAATATGGTTTTTCTAGCTTAATGTATTATAAAGATATTGAACTTTTTAAAAATTTAAGAGCCAACTTTGAAGGCTTATAACTCCTCAGGTGTACAACTTAGTATAGAGGTAAGTTGCGTTAAATCATCTTAATTTACTGTCCTCTACATGTCCCTGCTCTGTGTCGGTTCTTATGTGAATCACCCTGTATATTAACAGTTTTG